CGGCTCAGGCTTGCTCCGCCAGCTTTCGAGCTTGCCCGGCGGTTTTTTCTTGCCTTGTGGTGTCTGCTTCATATTGCCCATGAAACCATTAGGAGGACAGAGTAGTGGTGACATGGTGTGTCCTCCCATTGTCCCTTGAGAACCTCTGACTGCATTATGTTCCTCTAGAAGCTGAACAATGTCATGATGTAGCCTCTCTTGCGCTATGTCACGAGGAAGGCGGTCCATATGATCAGTAATCTCACGATTTGCATAGTGATCGAGCAGAACTTTTGCTGCTTCATAACTTCCTTCCCGAGCAGCCAGGAACAATGGAGTTTCCTCCTGGAGTGTAGAACAGCAATACAGGTTAGTACATACATACGGCTATTATTCAAATACAATTATTAATTTTCGACAGTACAAAGATGAAATTTCAAAGCCTAGTATAGCTATGATACAGAAAGTGGCTTGCATCTATCAACATAACAGTTAGGGCTCCTTCACACTATCTTTGGTCTCTGAAGAATGATCTCCATTTGGATCACTCTTCAAAGAGCATTTGAAAGGTGGTGAGGAGGCATTGGAGTTCATTTACTACAACTGGAGAGTGCAAAGTCTTGTGCAACTCGGCATAGAATCCAGTCAGCTTGCAGGCTTTATTGCCAAAGCTTAATTGAACAACCTGAGGTTAGAAGCTATTTGGCTACCATGCACAACTGCACCAGATTTTGCACTTTTCAGTTTTAGTAAATCAACCCCATTTTCTCACCACTTGCTTTAAACCCCTTAAACCCTGCACTAGCATATCCCAACCACAAGCATTGCACCCAGTTGCAGGGCACTTGCAGAGTGTGCCTATTCACTTGAATGGGTCACATTCACTGGGTGCTACACCCGCCGTAAGTGTCACGGGACATAATTTGTATTCATATCAATTTTTATAAAAGTAATGTATACAGCAAGCTTTTACAAAGCTTTTGCAAACCTTGTTAAAGCTTTTAAGTACCACTCAGCTCCAGTACGGGAATGTTATACATAGATCTTAATGGGAGGCAGCCTGTCACTTTAAACAAGCTGCTAGCAGGCTTCAGTAAGCTGTAGCACTACTTGAAGCTTGTTTGAAGCCTACTGAAGCCTGCTAGCAGTTTGTTTGAATTGACTACCATTACTCCCACTAGGATCTCTGTAAGGACCCCAAACTGGAACCAAAGATTTCTATATAGGCTTCTACAAAGCTGCTTAAAGCTTCTCAAAGACAACTTTGCAAATGTTTATTGTACACATTGCTTTTGAAAGCTGGAAACTGTGTGAACCAGGCAGCACTGAAACAATACACTGTGGGCTTAAAGTCAGAATAGTCAGTAAAAAAAAAAAAAAAAAAAAAAAAAAAAAAAAGCACAGAAACAATTGTTAAAAGAGGAGGTAACTGGTAAAGGATTGTCCTTAAATGTTCCCTAGCCTCCCCTGCTGCAGAGTTCTAGGTTCATGCTGTTAAACTTATAATAAATAATTGTACATGAAGAAAAAGCACTTGACAAAAGTCATGTCATCTCTGTACAACTTCCAGTATACACGCACCTTGCTGTCCTGCATGTCCTTGTTGGCTCCATTCTTCAGCAAAGCCACGGCAGCTTCAATGTTATTCACAGCTGCTGCCCAATGCAGAGCAGACTTACCTGGAGAGGAATGACAGGAGAAAAAAAAAAAGTAAACCTTAGGTTAAAAACACTCCTGCAGGAAAAGCAGGACACACTCAACTTTGAAAATAATGGAGGCCACCAGCTCCACACTAACCAAGTTCATCCACAGCATTGACATCAGCATGGCAGGCAATAAGCTCTTTCCACCATCCCCTCCACGGCCAGCCGAGCAGCCAAAATCAATGCAGTAGAGCCGTCACCCATTCGAGCGTCCAGGTCTGTGGAGCGGTTCCTGATGAGGATCTGTTGGTAGAATTGGTTTTAGAGAGTGATGCCAGACAAATACAATACTTTTAGCTGACAGATAAAAATTCCCACATCACAGGAGCAACTTGCCTGAAAAACGCCTTGTGCGTCGGCAGCCACAGCGGCGTGTAGCGGGGTACGTCCTGTATGATCTTGAGCATTGGGATCAGCTCCAGCATCCAGAAGTCTTTTGGCTGCATCTGCCCTAGCATATCTCGCTGCAAGATGCAGAGCCGTCTCACCGGTTCGGTCTGTCTGTGCCCCAAGAGATGCCCCTTGGCAGATAAGGTCGGAGATGGCGGAGGCTTCCCCTTCTTCCTCGTCTTCTTGAGACTCTGGCTCCAGCCCACCTCCCAGGAAGGATGCCAACATTAGCGGGGTGAATCCATCTACAAATTGAATTGAAGAAGACAGAAATATCAGATTTCCATCACATTCTAGGACAATGTTTATGCTGCAGTGCAGACTTTTGGCTCAGTGGTCCTAAAACCAATCATCAGACTTAAATAAAACAGAGTGTGCAGCTTCACAGCATAGCTCCATAAGGTAGACATGCCAAACTGAAATGAAAGTTTGTTGAATTGACAGTGCAAGGGGCTGCATTATGTCTAGCAAAGGCCAAGACTATGTAATTCCATAAAAATAGGAATATTGATGTACCTGTACAGTGCAGGGCACAGGAGTCAATTCTTAGATCATGGGTTATATGCTGCTACCTTCAGTTGATTGGACACTAGTAAAAGCTTTGCTGGAAACCAACCACCAGTGTACCCATAAAGCCATTCCCAACTCTGTGAAGCTCCAGCTTTTAACAAGCTGTAAGGAGAGCACAGGGAAAGTTGTACAGAACAAGAAATTGTAGCACCAGGCCCAGAGGATGAAAACGAATGGTCAAAAGACTCAGACATAAGACTGCAGAAGAAACCTGTAGCTGAAGTAGCAGAGGCTCAAACAACCAACTGCCATGAAATGGTTTTAAAAATGTGAACAGAACAGGCAGAAGCCCTATAACCCTTGAGTAGGGCCAATGCTAAATGCTGTAAAGAACCCATCCTCTAAAGAGAATGGGTGCAGGTAGGAAAGGAGGGACTCCTTCCCTGAGGGTAGAAGCCCCTAAAGAAAGTTAACATAACCACCCAGCCGGGTGGAGGAGACCTGATGAATTCCATAGAGGGACCTCCCTGAGAGAAACAGAAAAGGACTCAGTTGGCAAGATAATACATGACAGGAAGCCAGAGATGATGGACCTGACCCCATCCATAAGACGTATGATAAGTGTTTGACACAGAAGGCAATATAAAGAGCCCCAGGGAAGAACTGGCTTCCAGGATACTTTGTTCATATGTAACATAAAAAGGAGGGGAGACCAGGGAGATCACAGGGGAAGCCAAAGAAGAATTACTGCTGTTAGAGGTAATGGGGGAGAAGGTTCTGTCATTAAAGAGTCTCTTTACAAGGGCATAGCCCCTTTTAGCACTAGGGGAAGGCTCTGCAAAACCAAGAGCACCTGAGGAAAGCCCCAGAGGGGCATGGAAAAGTTGCAACCACAGCAAAAAGAGAAACAGTTGGCAAAAGTAAGTACACAAGTAGTGTAAAGCCAAAGTGCTATCATGAGGATATACAAGGTCTAACCAAGACCTGCCAGGTAGCAAGGTGTAGGTGTCTTGCACGATCAAAGGGAGAAAATGCACAATAAAGAACGGGAACAATTTCTAGGATAGGGTTCCCTATCTCTACATCAGGTGAGAACTAGCTAACATGACTGATTACAAAGTATGGGGAGGGGGGGGGGATGGGTAAATTTGCATGCCCTTGCAAAGGAAGAACACCCAACTAAGAGGTTCAAAAGTGCCTAGCAGATGAATATCAGGGGATTAAAGATACTGAGACATCTAGATGCCCAAAACCTAGACCCAACTAGCCCAGTATAGTTTTAGTGATCTGGCAGACTTTTTTCCTAATTCTGGGGGGCACATCTGCTGCACATCCATGTTGTCTGCACATTTTAACAGGCCATCAGGAGAATTAAGGACAGAGGGGACTGCTGCACACATTTGTATTGCTGGCAGAAGTAATAACAGTGTATGCAGATCACTGAGAAAGCCTTCAGGAACACCTAAATACCAAGCCCCAGAGACAAAGTGTTCTATCTAAAATGTCTAGTTTTGTATGGTGTTTTCACTTGTGCACCTGCTGTGCAACAAAAAAATACTATTCTGCATGCCTAACTTGAACCCTGCTCCTTATGAAAATCTGTGTTGCTGCTCACCTGGGCCTCTCACGTTAACATCCATGCCATCGGTCTCATAGTCACCCTGTGGTGGAGTCAGTGCTGTAGCTGGTGGAAGTCGGATATCTGCAGCGGCTAAGTGGTGCTGTGTCCAAGGCCGTGGGTCCACGGGATCTTGGCGACAGGGGGAAAGCTCCTCAGTCTATAAAATGGAAGTGAGAATGCTGTAATCAAATATTTTCAGAAGAAAAAAAAATCCATCTAATTATTAAAATACACAAAAAAAGGTTGGAAAACTAGAAAACTAATTTTGTGAATAATTTACAGCCAAAATTTTGGACTTTTTTCATCACATATGAAGAAGGTTGAAGACCTCCTGTTCGCCTTCACAGGTGGCAAATGAAAGCACTCCGCTCTTTGCAAATACTGCAACTCTGCAATTCTTCATTCCTGGCACTGGACACTCTGCAGCCATCCTATCATGGGCATGCTGATGATTTCAGCTGCATGGGGTTAAAAGGATGCAATGTCAATAAAGAGGACACCCTCAGCCAACCATCTAGGATACCCTTCCATCCATGACTGCACCTTGATATTCTGTAAATGGAAACTAGACAAGGCTGGAGACCACGCAGGTTTTGCTTAATGGTATGTATGCAGACAGTTCTCATTAAATCCATACAGACTTGCAATCTGCAAATTTGCTACAGGGCAGCAAAGGTGAATAGGTAGAGAGTGATGTCACTCCCCTAAATATAGCATGCAGCTATATTCGTTTACAATATCACTTCCCTAGTACTTACCTTAAGTCTTTTAGTCTCAGGACAGTCTGCCTCAGTCCAGTCTTCAGAAGGATCTTCCATAAGACGTTCTGCTTTGGCGATGTTCCTTCAAAGAGAAGCATGGTGTAAGCACAGTTAGGTGAAAAGACCGATGGGCAACACAGTAGGAGGCACTGGTGCTTTTCTTACTTAAGTCCAAGAGCATCCTGTCCCACAGGCTCACGTCTGTCTCTCTCCTTTTTCAATATAAATCCTTCTGGGAACCATAAGGTGCTGTGGGCTCGCTTCCTACGAGATACCAGCACACTCAGCACTATCACGATCAAGACCAACAGCCCAGCTACGCCCACTAGTGGAAGAAGATGCAATGACTGGGGAGGTTCTTCAATCTTATCACCTGGGAGGAGACACAAATTATGAATTCATCTGTTTCCTACCTCGGATTCATCACATTGCTTTTTAATAAATGATTATTATATGACTTACTGCGCACGGATTTAATTGGGTAAGGGAAATGCAGCCTGTCCACAGCACTCAGCGCAGCCAGGTAATCAGCAGCATTTTTTGCATCTGGGAAGCATTCAGAGGTCTCTTTGTCAACCTGTTTTTTTACATAGCCGATTGTCAATTTCCAACAGCACCTCAGACCTGTCAAAAGAGAACAGACGTCAGAACATCAAGGGTCTATTTAATAAAGCAATCCCTTGCTCTCCTGCAAGGGATGATTTCACGGATTTATATTTTTGATATTTTTAAAAGGATTACCCCTATTGTACAACTATATTCACAGTTTACGATCTCATACAGCTGGAACCATTGAAGGAACCAGCTCCTACCTCTCAAAAATGTATCAATTACATTCTTACTTTTTACTTTGATATGGCGTAACATTCAAGAGTAAAACAAAATGGTAATTTAGTTGTACCTTACATTAAAAATTCAGGAAGACCAGATCACTGTCATGCAATGAAGATTTTGACAGGTATAATATCAAGGATGATTAATGGATAAAGTACAATTCCATGAACCTTTTTTTGTTTGTGTAACTTTTTGCGTGAAACTTATAGATACCTAACTAGGAGAATTTGATAGATACCATAGGATTCTGTTGGGAGAATATAATAGATACCATATGATTCTGTTGGGAGGATTTAATATGTACCATATGAGTTCTGTTGGTAAAGATATTTCACATGCTTCAGGAGATCTGGGGGACTATAGACTGTCCCAATACACTTTCAGAGATTTATTTACTCTTGGCAATATTTGCTTATCCATGAAGCCCACATCTAAGGAAACCCATTGAGCTGGGATTGTGATGTGTATGCAATTTGCTCCATACTGCATATTCATCTAATTTTAGCAATGATTATCTTGTTGGGAATTTGCAGGCCTTTCCATGTATTGGCTATTATGCATCTAATGAGTGATTTGCTTGTTTGCATTTTTATCCAGGCTTTTTTTTTTCTAGAGTATCCAATGATTTAAGTGTAGAATGCCTAATTTAGTTTAATAGAAGCTATGCCAAACTTAACCTAACTTTTAGAAAACTGTGAGCAGGCAGCTTTTTAGTGCAGAAGAGACATGCTACAATCTCCTCTGCAATAATACAAACTTACCTGCCTGCTTGCAGTTTTCTACTGAATGTACACAAAGCTGTGTATGCACAGCTCAGCATGCATTCCTGGCAGACTTCGGCTGTGCCAGAATGACTGATTCCCATGCACATGCATGGGATGATATCCCCCGCTGCCTAATCAGGTGGCCAAAAACCTAGAATCCAGGGAAAAAAATGACAGCAGCCACTGAGGGATGTGACTGCTGCATAACTGGAAGGTGGGGATGAATGTATTGGAGAGTTTAGTACTTTAAGACATACAAACAATATCCATTATATTGAATGCTCATCTCAGCAAACATGTGCTCACCCTATGATGATGTCACCATCCAGCTCTCTCTCTCTTCACCCTCCGCTCTGCTGCCTGGCTTCTCCTGTATGGTTTAATCATGTACTGGCCATCTTTATCCACGCGGAAGCGGAGAGAGGTGCGCAGAATGACGCTGAGTCTCAGCAAGAATGCTTTGCTTTCCTTTAACAGCTGCTCAGGAGGAAGCAGAACCACAATAACCAGCACTCCCTCTGCCAGCTGCTCTCCATCCCGGCCTCCGGCACAGTCAAGACCATCCCAGCCACATTCCTCCGCGTTACATCCCTGGTCGCACCGACCATCTCCATAGTGGTCCATACAGTACTGTTCGTAGACAGGGCTGTCAGACAAAAAAAGCAGTTTGACACTTTAAAAATACGGTTCCTTTTGAGGAATTAAGACAAGTTAGCATTAATACCCCCTTAACAACATGCAACTAATTTTTGATTCCCTGCTGTTCCTTTCAGCACCAAGAGCCAAAGGAAGTACCCAGAAATTTTAGGTGCGCAGGAAGATGTGACCGTGCTGGACCAATCAATGCTGCTATTCTGAGCTATCACACTTGAGTCCACAGTCCTATAATTGCAACCTATAAATCTATTGACTTTCCTTTGCACCCAGCAGCTACTTGGAGCAGCAGGGAAGTGAAAGGGAGCAAACTATATGCTGCTAACAGGGCCAAATTAAAGCTGAACTCTAGGCACCAAGGTTTTCACATATATATTCCTCAATAGATACAAAAGATTTAAATCTAATTTGAGGGCATCAAAATCTAGATAATACCTTGTAAAAGTAGCACTGACATAATCATTGTGCTGTACATAGCCTGTGCAGAGAGCAGAGCTGTGGAAGGGACCAAGCAGGCTCCATCCACTACAGGCTGTATGAAGAACTACAGAAGGGGATGGATAGAAGACCAGTCATTGTGTACAAGCAGAGAGAGCATCAGTGACTGGTCTTTATTACCCAGGAAGCTCCTGCACAGAGGCAAGGTTTCACACTGGATGACAGCTCAGATCTGGAAGAATACACTAAGCACACCAATATTTAAGGAAGAATACACATAGCTCTTGTACAGTTGCAAGAAAAAGTATGTGAACCCCTTGGGATTACATGGAGTTTTGCATGAATTGGGCATAAAGTGTGCTCTGAACGTCATCTAAGTCACAGCAATAGAAGAACTCAGTCTGCTGAACATAATACTACACAAACATTAGATGTTGCCATGGTTTAATTGCACATAACATGTAAACATTCACAGTGCAGGGAGAAAAAAGTATGTGAGGCCCTAGCTTAATGACTTCTCCCAGAGCTAATTGGAGCCAGGAGTGAGCCAACCTTGACTCCAATCAGTGTGATGATATTGGATGTGTTGCTGACAGCTGTCCTGCCCTTAAAAAACACACACCTGTTTTGAGTTTACTGGTTTCAAGAAGCACTGTCTGATGTGAACCATGCCTCGCAGAAAAGAGCTCTCAGAAGACCTACGATCAAGAACTGTTGACTTGCATGAAGCTGGAAAGGGTTACAAAAGTATCTCCAAAAGCCTTGAGGTTCATGTGTCCACGGTAAGACAGACTGTCTACAAATGGAGAAAGTTTAGCACTGTTGCTACTCTCCCTAGGCGTGGTCGTCCTGTAAAAATGACTGCAAGAGCACAGCGCAGAATGCTGCATGAGGTAAAGAAGAATCCCAGAGTGTCAGCTAAAGACCTACAGAAATCTCTGGCACATGCTAACATTTTTGTTGACACATCTACAATAAGGAAAACATTAAACAAGAATGGAGTACATGGGAGGACACCACGGAGGAAGCCATTGCTGTCCAAAAAGAATATTGCAGCACGTTTGAAGTTTGCAAAAGAGCACCTGGATGTTCCACAGCACTACTGGCAAAATATACTGTGGACAGATGAAACCAAGATTGAATTGTTTGGGAAGAACACACAACACTATGTGTGGAGAAAAAAAGGCACAGCACACCAACATCAAAACCTCATCCCCACTGTAAAACATGGCGGAGGGAGCATCATGGTTTGGGGCTGCTTTGCTGCCTCAGGGCCTGGATGGATTGTTGTCATTGATGGGAAAATGAATTCCAGAGTTTATCAAGACATTTTGCAGGAAAACGTACGACCATCTGTCCGCCAACTGAAGCTCCGCAGAGGATGGGTGATGCAACAGGACAATGACCCAAAGCATACAAGTAATTCAACAAAACAATGGCTGCAACAGCACAGAATACGCCTTCTGGAGTGGCCCAGTCAGAGTCCTGACCTCAACCCGATTGAAATGCTGTTGCATGACCTTAAGAGAGTGATTCACACCAGACATCCCAAGAATATTGCTACACTGAAACAGTTTTGTGAAGAGGAGTGGTCCAAAATTACTCCAGATCGTTGTGCAGGTCTGATCTGCAACTACAGGAAACGTTTGGTTGAGGTTATTGCTGCCAAAGGAGGGTCAACCAGTTATTAAGTCCAAAGGTTCATACACTTTTTCCTCCCTGTACTGTGAATGTTTACATGTTATGTGCAATTAAACCATGGCAACATCTAATGTTTGTGTAGTATTATGTTCAGCAGACTGTGTTCTTCTATTGTTGTGACTTAGATGACGTTCAGAGCACATTTTATGCCCAATTCATGCAAAACTCCACGTAATCCCAAGGGGTTCACATACTTTTTCTTGCAACTGTATTTAGGCAATAGTAGCTTATTCTGGAGTTCAGCCTTAAAGTGGAGCGGTTTTCCCCTGCATGGGCAAACAAAAAGTTCAGTTTAAACAACTATCATTCACTTATTAAAAGAAAACCTGTGAATTTTAAAATTTAAAAAGTTCATAATTTTATTATTAGGACAGAAAAGTTTCTCCTCTGCAGCTCTTTGTTGCAATATTAGTTACTGCCTAATAAAAGTAATAGACACCCTGTGTTGCCTGGTCTTAGGACTTTTGAATAAATAAAATGTAAATGAAAATGTAAGACAGCCAACCCCAAGTCCTTTACAGCACTTCAGGTCCCTTACTTGCAGCTGTGTTCAGTCTTCTCCCGGCAGTCAAAGTTGTCATACAGACACTCAGCTGAGGCACATTGTAAATCACATTTGGAATTATTGAACAGGAGCTGGCAGTTTTGCCAGGGACAATTCTTCCACGGGTCATCCACGGACAGAGCGCAATCTCCACCATCCCAGTGACATTCTGGAGAATTGCACTCCCGGTCACACCGGCCATCTCCCATCTTGTTGGGGCACTGTGGTGGGCTACATTCTGGTGCTGGTATGTCTTCAATCGGGGCCTTTATATCACACCGTGGTCCAATAAAGTCTGGAGGGCAGTGGCAGGTGAAGTAAGGGAATTTGTCAGTAGTGGCACACCGAGCTCCGTTTTGGCAAGGTGAGGGGGAGCAGGCTGAATGACGGGGAGATTGTGGATTAAAGGTGCCATTTAGGAGGGTACGGCAGACAACCCCTGGAGGGCAGACACAACGAGGGCCTAGAGGTGAAGGGATGCAGGAAGATCCAGATGGACAATCAAAGTCTCGACAGGAATTTAGAGGTCGCTCACAGGATGGTCCAGTGAAACCCTATAACATGAGAACAATGTGCTATGAGTGAATAAGGAATAAAGAATGATGTAGCTTTTTATCAGATGCAAAAGCCAAGTACTTACAGCAGGGCAGCGACAGGTGTACCCCAGAGGGGTGTTAACGGTCACACGGCAAACACCTCCATTTTGACAAGGCCGAGACTCACATGTGTTCACCACACTCTGGCAACGGCGTCCTGAACAACATAATTATACATTACTTGATATCACATTCCTACACTACTAAGATTACCAGTTAGACCCCCTAAGTGGAACTGTGTGAGATTCTATGTTGCCATTTCAAATTAATATTGCTTTCTTGATGAATGTATACACTGACTAGATGAAGGTTTCAGCAGCTGATCCTCAACTCTCCCCTTCTCCCTCCGTCATACAACCATCTTACCTGTATAGCCATTCTTGCATATACATTGATAATCATTGGCCATCTGGATGCAGTCGCGGGTGTTGTGTGTCACACAAGGCCCAGACAGGCACTCATTGATGTCGCCCTCACACCTCTCGCCAGTGTAACCTGGAGGGCAGTTGCAGCGGTAGCCCCCAACTTTATCCACACAAGTCCCGTTGTTCAAACATTTGGGCTGGCCAGAAGTGGTGAGAGTGGAACAGTCATCTTCATTAATCTCACACAGCACCCCTGTAACATTATAAATTCAATATGATCAAAAAAGAAAAATAATATTGTTACATACACAGAAGCCTATACACACAAGAAACACAAAGTATGGGAGAGGGGAGTGGGTTGAGTTCGGGCACTGCCTCGTTTTTCCTTTTAAGTTCTGAAAAGGTCATGGCACCAAGCGGCAGCATGAAGGTACACAGTGTTAAAATTGGCCTGTAAATATATCTAGGAACATCAGGTACACAATCTAAAGAAGATTGTAAATAGATCTATATTATATATACAATCTAAGTACTCTATATGCAAATAATTCACAAATAAATCATGACAAACATGCAACCGAGTGATTTCTCTTGTTCTACAGTGCCTGGTCAGCTTATGGGTTGGGACCCAAACTGGGTTGTGGACATGTTTGTGATGTGTCACCACATGACAGTTTAGTAAACAGCCTAGTTTGTCCAAGTGCAAAATCAGTGGCGAGTGATACAGAGCACTTTATCTAGGTTTCAAATCATATACTACTGTGATATGAGACGTAGCCTATAATCAATGTGGTTAGTGTATCACAGAAAGCATTCCTGAGATGAAAATGTAATAAATAGACCCTCAACATCAACACAACCCATCAAACTTATAAGATTGGGAGCATATGGGGGACTAAAGTGTGTGAAGCAGGGAGCAAAGGCAATTGCACAGACAATATCATAAGGGAGAGAGACCCCGACACTAATGGAAAATGTAAAACATTTCCTGCAGAATTTTCCTCTCTGCTTTATACGAAGGTCTCGTTCACACAGGTTGAACATAACCATATGCACATGGATTGCTATCAGTTAGGACACAGCCACTGTTTCCAATATGGACAGAAGCTGCATCCCCATTGATGGCAATGAGACTGCATGCACAGGGATTTGTGGAACACAAAAACAGTCCAGTACGGGTAAAAGTGGCCCTCTTCAAACGTACAGTTTTTTTATGCCCCATGTGAATGAGGCCTACAGCTTTACTGAAATTGTGAAGTGTGTCTGCAACGCCTATACAGTCACTGACTTTTGTCTTTACTGACACTTTGGTAATCATTCTCTTGGGCTTCAGGCCGATGACCAGTTATTTGGGCTTTATAACATGCTGGTGCTAGATAAACGCTCCAATTTTCACAGCTGTTGGAAACCCATTTTCCTCCCAGTATAATAATGCAAACATCAGTAAAAAAAAAAACCCAGTCTTTGACCGCTACCCCCCCCTTATTATCAGCAAAATCATATTTTATATAGTCCATGTATTAGATCACATACCATTAGGATATAATACACAGACTAGAGCAGCCTTTCTCAACCAGGGTGCCCAGGCACCCTGGGGTGCTCTGAGGTTTATTTCAGGGGTGCCTTGGCAAAATGTCTAAAAATTGCCTAAAACTATACAAGCCAGCGGGTGGAACAAGCCTGCATTTTAGTTACACAAAGCCACAGGTTTTCATTGTGCACCATTACCACCTTCTAGCCGCTGGCGCCCTGGAAACCTATGACATCATCAGTTAATATGGAGGATGTCGGCTACCCGCACAGCACCCTAGTTTGACCCTCCCATGCCCCTCTCCATCAGTGCTGGGGTCATATTAACGCAGTAATGAAGAAAAACTGAGGGAGAAGAGAAACCCTGGAATACTAGTCAGTACCAGTGTGCAAAAATGTATTTGCTTTGGAAGAATAAATCACCTCTAATGTTGGGTGTTCTACATGTGTGGATGTTGCTGTGTTATATGAAAATATTAGAATAGTTTTTTACATTTTAGAATGGGGTGCCCTTTTAAAATGGAGAATCTTGAGGCACCCCATTTTAGAATGGGGTGCCTCCAGACTGTTCATAATTGTAACGGGTGCCTCGGGACTGTCCATAATTTTAAACGGGTGCCTTGACTGAAAAAGGGTTGAGAAACACTGGACTAGAGGCTGCACTAGTGGATTCCTAACCAGCTGAAACACACACACTGTATATATTATAATATGACATGATTTTGTACTGTCCAGTGGGAGGCGTTGTAGTACCAGTATGTGTATGATTTTCTTGCCCAATAATTTTTTTTTAGCTTGTTTCATATTTTAAGTGGTTACAATAAAGCATATATTTTTTTAGGCTTTCAACCCTACACCCTGCCATATGATTTAATTATAATGTTGATAATAAGGGGGTAGCAGTCAAAGTCCTTTTTTTTTTATGTTGATGTTTGCATATCGATATGGTTACACTGACAACTCTCCCCTAATTCTATTGTTATTTTGGACGATTTTTTATGATGATTTTGTAAAACTCAAAGGGACCTGGTTTGAGGATTTTTAGAGGCAAATGGTCATCCTCAAAGTATAACTAACATGCACACATACAGAACTCTCACTGAAACAATTGCTTTATCGCTGCATAAGACGTTCCATATTTATTGGTTTATTGCATCTGTCTCAGTGGTAGTCATATCATGTTATACAGTTTAATATTTTCTGCAGATACAATCAATATTGCAGTTACAACAAATCTTTTTTTCTGAATGAGGAAAGAATCATTTTTTCTATAGCAAGCACCAGTATACTAGATCAACCTTTTTTCAGTCAAGGCACCCTTTTAAATTACAGACAGTCTTGAGGCACCCCATTCTAAAATGTGAAAAAATATTCTAATAGTTTTATATAATGCAGCGACACCCACACATGTAGGACACCCACCATTAGAGGAGATTTATTCTAGCAAACCAAATACACTTTTACACACTGGTACTGAGTAGTATTCCAGTGTTTTCTCCTCTCCCTCTGTTTTTATCCATCACTGAGCTAATGTGACCCCAGCACTGATGGGGAGGGGCAGGGGAGGGTAAAACTAGGATGCTGTGCAGGCAGCTGACATTCTCCTTATCAACTGATCATGTTATTGGTTGTCAGGAGGCCGGCGGCTAGAAGGTGGTAATGGTGCACAATGAAAACCTATGGTTTTGTGTAACTAAAAGGCAGGCTTGTTCCACCCGCTGGCTTGTATACAGGTTTTGGGCAATTTGTGGACATTTTGCCAAGGCACCCCTGAAGAAACCTCAGGGCACCCTGGTTGAAAAAGGCTTTACTAGATAAATGCTGGCCAATAACTCTAGAAAAATTAAATTTGCTAAGGGAAGGTTGTATTATAAAAATTAAGACTTCCATTCTGGCCCATTTTAGTCATTGTACCTAATAAGGGCATGTGGGATAATACAGTCTACATGCTTACCAAGGGTCCCTGGCGGACAGGAGCAGATGTAACGACCAATCAGGTCAATACAGGATCCTCCGTTCTGACACGGGTGAGACTGGCATTCGTCTATGTTTATTTCACAGTTTGTTCCTTCAAATCCAGCCACGCACTAGGAAAAAAGATGGCATTAAGAGCAAAAAGAATACAAAAAGTCCCCCACCATACACACTCCTATGTCGCTAACATGGCAGATGCTAGACCATAAACCTCTATTACAAGGGATGTAATTATATTTATTTATTTCAGGTACTTATATAGCGCCGTCAGTTTTACGCAGCGCTTTACATATATATTGTACATTCACATCAATCCCTAACCCTCAAGGGGTGTACAATCTAAGGTCCCTAACTTACATTCATACATACACATACTAGGGCCAAATTAGACAGGGTCTAATTTACCTACCAGCATGTCTTTGGAGTGTGGCAGGAAACCGGAGTACCCGGAGGAAACCCACGCAGGCACAGGGAGAACATGCAAACTCCAAGCAGGTGGTGCTGTGGTTGGGATTCAAACCAAAGACCCTAGAACTGCCAGGCAGAAGTACTAAACATTTAGCCACTGTGCTGCCCATTATATAACAAAACCTTAAGCCTGCTCTGCTCATCAATAACGATAGATGAGACTACCTCACTTTGTACAACCTACACATGATTTTGCAACTTAAAACTGGTTGTAAACCTCAGACATGAAATATGAACAAAGCATATCCCTCTAAAGTGTGTACTTGTCTCAATCCAGAGCACTAAGTGTCATTTCTGTCTTATGCTTCATTCCTCCGCTATCAGCACGAGTCATTTGACACCTTTTCCTGACACCAAAAGAAAAATGGTGACAGGGGAGGGACTTCCAGCTGATTGACAGCCTCAGCTCTGTTCCTGTGTGCTTTGTGAAGAGGGGTGTGTCTCTTTCCTCCATTCAGCTCTCAGTGCTTTCCTCAATGAGCTCTGCAGAGTGCAACTTCAGCTCTCTGCTCCCTTTTTTTTTTTTTTTTTGAACTCAAGCTTTATAATTCAGCACTCCAAACGAGAAAGAGAAAGCTCCAGATAAACAGGTACACCTTATGCAGGGGGATTGGCTTCATTTCTGTGCATCACCACTCACTTCACTGGGTATATGTTCTCTATCCTCTCTGGAAAACCTTCAACTTGGAATCATAAAAATAGAAGGAGCAGATAGAATATACTCCCATAGACTCATTAGTCTTGCTTACCTCACACACATAACCACCAAGGTAGCTGTGGCAAGACCCTCCATTAAGACAAGGATCCGGATCACACTGGTTGATGGGTGTCTCACAGTAGCTGCCAGTGTAGCCTCCTCTGCAGAAACACTTGTGAGAGTTGCCTGTATTCATACAGGACCCCCCCAGCATGGCAGAGCTGATCCACGCGGACACCTAACACAACAAGAGTATGTCAAGAGCCAAGCCATAAAGTCTCATCGTTCTTCATTGTACCCACTTTCATCCGTTGTACGCACCTTTCCTGTTCGCTGCTACGTCACATGACACACGTGGGATATCACAGTAACTTCCCGTCCATCCAGAAGGACACTCGCAGCGGATAGATGGGCCTATTTGAGTGCAGCGACCTCCATTCTGGCACGGAGAACGACGGCAAAGATCCAGCAAGTTCTGAAACAAAGGAGCAATTGTGTCAGAGGCAGAAGAAGAGTGGTTACTGTTGTTAAATATACAATACACTGCTAATAGTCGATGTCTGTAAAAAGAAGCGAGGTTTCAACCACACAAAGGGCAATATTCATCCAAACACAGTGTGTTTGGTAACCTGAGATCTGCGTAAAAACGTATTCACCTCCAAGGCCCATTGATCAGCAGGAGACCTTTAAACCTTTCACTGCCAGAGCAGTTTTTTTTTGCCTTTTTTTCCCCCATACAATGGAAAAAATTATTTTAGACCTCCAGATCATGTAAAACCTCCAAATATGATATATTTTCTGAAAGTAGATACCCCGGGGAAAATTGCGTGTATTTTAGAAATCGTTCCACTAATATGTGACATGACATAAAATTGGAACGAACACCAACACAAGAAATTAATAAATTTTCAGTCAAATATAAAAGATGAGGTTGCAAGTAAATAGATACCAAACATGTCAAAACGTAAAACTGCGTGTACCTGTGAAATGGCAACAAACTTCACAACCCTATATTTTCTGTAGGCAGTGCTTTAAAAGCCCCTACAGGTCATCAGTTCAGATTTAGGAATAATGAGAATAAGGAGTTATTAGCCTCACTCTGGCATGCAGTGCGATATTATTTATTTCAGGTACTTATATAGCGCCATCAATTTACACAGTGCTTTACATATATATTGTACATTCACATCAGTCCCTAACCCTCAAGGGGTGTACAATCTAAGGTCCCTAACTCACATTCATACATACACATACTAGGGCCAATTTAGACCGGAGCCAATTAACCTACCAGCATGTCTTTGGAGTGTGGGAGGAAACCGGAGTACCCGGAGGAAACCCACACAGGCAGAGGGAGAACATGCAAACTCCAGGCAGGTGGTGCTGTGGCTGGAATTCGAACCAACGACCCGAGTACTGCCAGGCAGAAGTGCTAACCATTTAGCCACTGTGCTGCCCACTGTGATATGCAACACATAGCAAAAGTGAGATTTGCGCATGTAGGCACCCTTGACGCAAGCACTTACTTTCATATGTTTTTGTGTGTGTGGGGGCTCAAAAACCTTTTTAAGTGCTTGAGTGGAACTTAGATGTTTTTTTTAACCACTTCAGTACTGGACACTTATACCCCCCTTCGTGCCCAGGCCAATTTTCAGCTTTCAGCGCTGTTGCACTCTGAATGACAATTGCACGGTCATGCAACACTGCACCCATATGAAATGGTTATCATTTTTTTCACACAAATAGAGCTTTCTTTTGGTGGTATTTAATCACCACTCAGTTTTTTTTATTTTTTGCTAAATAAAACAAAAAATATCTGAAACTTTTGAAAAAAAACAAAAAACTCTTTTCTTTGTTTCTGTTATAAAATTTTGTAACATTTCTTCATAAATTTAGGTCAAAACGTATTCTGCTACATTTCTTTGGTGAAAATAATAATTGAATTTGTATTTTGTTTTTCAAATGTTTCTTTTTTTTTTTTTAATTTATTATTACATATTTTCTTTTTTTACGATTTTATTTTTCAGCACACTGTCACCAAAGCAATATAATGTTACCATAGTAACATTGAACTACTCTGGGCAAGTGATCAGGATTTTTTTTTTTTTTTTAACACATTATGATTGCTAATACCAATGTATTTCATTTATATTTGCAATCATTGTTACTGAATGAAACCAATTCATTTAGTCTTTAGTTGTGATTAGCTGTGATTGGGCAAATCTGATCACATGATATAGATGGGCTGTGATTGACCCTGTCTGTATCATGTGACTGCCTTGACCAGTCACAGCTAACAACATAATTGTATACAATGGATGGCATGACAGGAAGCCATCTATTGTATACAATTGACATGTGATCTGCTGTGATTGGTCCTAGCGGGCCACATGACACTGGCGATGGGCCGATGTACTGATAGATCACCGGCTGTGACAGATCGTGCTGCTGGGTGGCCCCGCAAGCGGCTTGTTTTAACAGGATGTCATATGACGCCCAGTCACAAGATTGAGTGTCCCACCTGGCCGTCATTCTGCTATAGGTCGAGTGGGAAGGTGTTAAATGAATTCCCACCCAAACACACAGTGAAAAAAAAAAAAAAGCAGCTGAGTTCCCTCTCCCATGCTGGTCTTGTCCATGATTCCTCTCCCATGCTGGTCTTGTCCATGTTCCCTCTCCCATGCTGGTCCTGTCCATGGGTACGCAGAGCCCAGGAAACACAGTGAGGGAAGGCAGGGACAGCACAAATGTGTGAAAACTACCCCAAGTCAGAAGTGGCAGTAACAAGGTTAAACTGCTCAAAATGTAAGAATAAGAACATGTAGAAAAAAACTAAATTTTAATAATATTTCTGCCACAGAATTCAGTCAGATGCTGAAGACCACCAAATCTCTTGAGGACAGTGAGGTTATTCACAGGACAGAGAAGAGTTCAGAGTCTTACTTTGCAAGGAGGTTGATTTAAAAAGATTTTTCATGCATGTTTTTTTTTCACTTTATTAGAAATCTGTCTACAGCAATCTGTCCCATTCCACTTACCTGGCACTGCGTCCCTGTGTATCCATTGGGGCAGATACATTGATAGGACTCCACCCTGTCCACACACACAGCTCCATTCTGGCAGGGACGGGAAGCGCACTCATCCACTTCGTGTTGGCAGTGAGAGCCGGTGAAGCCAGAGTGGCAGATGCAGGTGTAGGAATCCATGCCGTCTTTGCAGGTCCCACCATTAAAGCAGGAGCTGAAAATGACAGATCAACACATAATTATGTACAAGTACAGTGACAGCACCCAAAAACAAGGACAGAAAATTGTATTAAACCAGGGGTTAATATTTCGAGTGCAGACCTACTAGCCGGTCACAAAACTTACTCTCCACCAGTTGCCCCACACCCAACCTTGCCCAGGTCTGCCCCCAACCCCACCCCCGGCCCGCCCCAAACCCCACCCCTGCCCCGCCCCCAACCACGCCCCCTTAAGCTTATGAAATTACATTTTTCTTTAGAATAGTCCAAAATATAAAACTGTATACAGTAATGTATATCCCCGCTCCCCTGTACTCCATTATAGTGATATGACATGTATACAGTAATGTATATCCCAGCTCCCCTGTACTCCATTATAGTGATATGACATGTATACAGTAATGTATATCCCAGCTCCCCTGTACTCCATTATAGTGATATGACATGTATACAGTAATGTATATCCCAGCTCCCCTGTACTCCATTATAGTGATATGACATGTATACAGTAATGTATATCCCAGCTCCCCTGTACTCCATTATAGTGATATGACATGTATATCCCAGCTCCCCTGTACTCCATCCCATCATGCCTCAGTCTCTGGGAGTCATGCATGTGGCTTTTTCTTGTGTGTTGCATGGGACATATAAATATTCCTAACATGTCGAAAATAAGTTTTCAAACGCTAACCCCTGTAGCTGAACACACTGTGAAGTTTGACTTTGTTTCTTCAGCTGTAAACTTTGAGGATGATTGCTCCCACAGTGTCTGCAACTACTGAGGTCGGCTGCAAAGCACATTTACCATTTTTTAAAACATGTAAATATCTTAAGGTTTCTAGGCCTAGCTTGGCTACACTTTAAAGTCTACCCTAACTGATCATTTTGAGGTGGATATCCTGCAGTCTGTTCTCACAACTGGAACCACTTTGCAATTCCTAGAGCTTACCTCTCAGTACAGTCCTGTATGTTGGTCTCGCAGACAGGCCCAGTGTATCCTGGAGCACAGGAACACACATAGCTGTTAACATAATCTAAGCAGGTGGCTCCATTGAGGCATGGGTCACTAAGACATTCATTGATTTCATTCACACATCTTGGTCCAGTAAAGCCAGGCAGACATGTGCAGGAGAAAGAATTCACCCATCCTTGCAGGAACCACCATTGAGACAGGGATCTAAGAGTGCAGAAAAATAAAGAAAACAAATTAAAAAGAGAAAAAATGTAGACTGATGGCATTAAGAACAATTTTATTATCTTTTTTTTTTTTTTTTTTTACAAACAGCCAGATTGACACTACAACTTACTTGGTGAACAATCATTAATATCAGTCTCGCAGTTGTGACCCGTGTATCCTGGTTTACAGAGACAGTTGTATCCGCCTGGAAGGTTGATGCACTGTGCACCATTTTGGCAAGGGCTCCTGTTGCATTCATTCACGTCGATGTCACATGACTCACCTGCAACAGTAGGTAGCATTATTACCCAGTATTCTATGTTATTTCTGTCATATGAAGGTTTAGATGTCAGTTTATATGGAAAATTAACTTTAGTCGCAATGCACTTCTTAGGACCAGGTCACACCAGCAAATCTGTAGCAGCTCCTAATCTCTGATTATTTGTAGTGATTTGTAGCCGGCTATAAGGCCCCATGCATACTGCAACCCCTCTAAATGCCTTTCTCCTTGCAGGACAAAGCAGCTTTAAAAATGTACCTAAAGCTGCAGTATTTCAAATACATTTAGGTACATTTAGGCAGGTCAAGCATTGTTGGTGTTCATGCATTTCATTGACCAGAAATATAAATTTATCCTGGCCACTGAAATAGACGAATGCTCAAGCACTATATGTACCCAGTACTTATGCATGTTTACACTCATTTACAAGCGGTTAGGTGCATCAGGTGCATTTTTGTGGCAAAATGCTCCTTTCCTGAACACTCTGGCCCTGGTTTTTTTTTTCTGCCTCTAAACACCTGTGTATGCACGGACACATAGGGTAACAGGAGAATTTAAAGTGGAGTTCCACTTATTTGCCTCCCTGTCAAAACCAGATACCCGCTCCCCCCCAAAAGGTGCCAAATATGGCAGTGGAGCGGGTACCTGGTTTTGACAGGTACCCGCTTCCACTTCCAGCTCAGTTTGATGTAGCAAAGTGAGCCATGGTGATACTGTACTACTTGTGGGGGGTGATGAAGATTTTTTTTTTTTTTCTACACCGATTGCTTTTACACCCATAAAGGCTGTAAAAGCAATAATTTCTCCTTCTCTCTGGCTGCATTCTTGCAGCCATTGAGAAATACTGTGTGAGCTGTGATTGGTCACAGCTTGTCACATGGTACAAGGCTGTTGTGAATAGCCTTGTACCATGTGACCTCTGTGATCATTCACAGATTTCATACGTAGTAAGCAATGATGTCAGAAGTAACATCTTGCTTACTACTCTGCATGTGATCACTGATTGGCCAATCAGTGATCACATGATCGGGACCTCGCACAGAGGTCCTGTACGACGATCGGTGTTCCACTGTGTCTGGAGGACACAGCGGCACCGGATCGCGGTGCTGCGCGCTCCCAGGGAGCGCGCACAGTCCAAAAAGGGTGGGCGCCGTTTATGAACGGCAACCCGCCCCTGGACTGCCACCGTCCTGCCGTTTATATACAGCGGCCGGATGGCAAGTGGTTAAAGATGATAGTTAATCTGAAAGCACTGCTAAATGTCAATGACAAAATGGTGGACATACAGTCAGGTCCATAAATATTGGGACATCGACACAATTCTAAAATTTTTGGCTCTATACACCACCACAATGGATTTGAAATGAAACGAAGAAGATGTGCTTTAACTGCAGACTATCAGCTTTAATTTGAGGGTATTTACATCCAAATCAAGTGAACGGGTGTAAGAATTACAACAATTTGCATATGTGCCTCCCACTTTTTAAGGGACCAAAAGTAATGGGACAGAATAATAATCATAAATCAAACTTTCAGTTTTTAATACTTGGTTGCAAATCCTTTGCAGTCAATTACAGCCTGAAGTCTGGAACGCATAGACATCACCAGACGCTGGGTTTCATCCCTGGTGATGCTCTGCCAGGCCTCTACTGCAACTGTCTTCAGTTCCTGCTTGTTCTTGGGGCATTTTCCCTTCAGTTTTGTCTTCAGCAAGTGAAATGCATGCTCAATCGGATTCAGGTCAGGTTATTGACTTGGCCATTGCATAACATTCCACTTCTTTCCCTTAAAAAACTCTTTGGTTGCTTTTGCAGTCTGCTTTGGGTCATTGTCCATCTGCACTGTGAAGTGGCGTCCAATGAGTTCTGAAGCATTTGGCTGAATATGAGCAGATAATATTCCCGAAACACTTCAGAATTCATCCTGCTGCTTTTGTCAGCAGTCACATCATCAATAAATACAAGAGAACCAGTTCCATTGGCAGCCATACATGCCCACGCCATGACACTACCACCACCATGCTTCACTGATGAGGTGGTATGCTTAGGATCATGAGCAGTTCCTTTCCTTCTCCATACTCTTCTCTTCCCATCACTCTGGTACAAGTTGATCTTGGTCTCATCTGTCCATAGGATGTTGTTCCAGAACTGTGAAGGCTTTTTTAGATGTCGTTTGGCAAACTTTAATCTGGCCTTCCTGTTTTTGAGGCTCACCAATGGTTTACATCTTGTGGTGAACCCTCTGTATTCACTCTGGTGAAGTCTTCTCTTGATTGTTGACTTTGACACACATACACCTACCTCCTGGAGAGTGTTCTTGATCTGGCCAACTGTTGTGAAGGGTGTTTTCTTCAACAGGGAAAGAATTCTTCGGTCATCCACCACAGTTGTTTTCCGTGGTCTTCCGGGTCTTTTGGTATTGCTGAGCTCACCGGTGCGTTCCTTCTTTTTAAGAATGTTCCAAACAGTTGTTTTGGCCAAGCCTAATGTTTTTGCTATCTCTCTGATGGGTTTGTTGTTTTTTTTTCAGCCTAATGATGGCTTGCTTCACTGATAGTGACAACTCTTTGGATCTCATCTTGAGAGTTGACAGCAACAGATTCCAAATGCAAATTGCACACTTGAAATGAACTCTGGACCTTTTATCTGCTCACTGTAATTGGGACAATGAGGGAATAACACACCTGGCCATGGAACAGCTGAGAAGCCAATTGTCCCATTACTTTTGGCCCCTTAACAAGTGGGAGGCACATATACAAACAGTTGTAATTCCTACACCGTTCACCTGATTTGGATGTAAATGCCCGCAAATTAAAGCTGGCCGTCTGCGGTTAAAGCACGTCTTGTTCGTTTCATTTCAAAACCATTGTGGTGGTGTATAGAGCCAAAAATGTTAGAATTGTGTCGATGTCCCAATATTTATGGACCTGACTGTACATGCTAGAGTTTTGTTTTTCTAATAAAAAAAAACAAAAAAACACAAAAAACAACAAGCAGCCATGACTTCTCTTCTGACTCAATTTCGATCAGATTCAATCAAACTGAGTCGATTGGCGATGGTGGAAAATTATCACTCTTTTTGCAAAAATCACAAGCATTGAGTTACTTGTTCAGGCATACAATTATATTTCAATTGACCAGATTATGATATAACATAGTGGGAACACAGATGCAATCAAGGACTTATAAATTACAATCATATCTTCACTATCAATCAAAATCCACTTCCCTGTGTGCGGCATATTGATCTAATGGGTTGTTGATAGGTTATTCTGGTTGGACCCATCACTGACTGTAATGACCTTATTGTTACAAAAATAAAAGAAAATCCCTAACTAGAGATACTTTTTAGCTGATAGAGTTGCTCATATGACAAGGCCCTTACTGCACAAAAGCTACATTTCTGCTATTCATGTTATCCTCAGAAAATGTGTAAATGTCACAGTTACCTTCCCAGCCACTAAGACATTTGCAGGTGTAGCTTTCATAGTCTGCAGATGGTGTGCACACACCGCCATTATGACAAGGCTCAGGACTGCAGGGCGCAAGGAGAGTCTCACATGTCTGGCCTGGAACAGAAAAGAACTGTGATCAACATTGTTATTTTACCATGCGCATTATGGACATATCTCATGACATCAGCACCCACCTATCCCTTCATTGCATCTGATCAACAAGCACTCTTCTAAGATGATTAATGGCCATTTGCACCATGAAGAAAGGGTAAAAGTTAGCCTCAGGTGCTGCCATCTAGAGGCACCATGAGATAAGCTCCTCGGCTCACCTGGTGGACACTCAGTCATCTGCTCTTATGGATGCTGGAACCACTTTAGAGATGCAGAGTTTGCACCCCTATGCCATTCTTTAGTTTGTAACAAATATGAGTATGAAAGTGTAAAAAAAAAAAAAACATTTTTAATGTTACTGCAAGCAGCATGAATTCCCCCTGCTATAGCCTATAGCTTTTGCTCAAACCATTAAGCCATTTCCAATGGATATACAAAATATTCAAGGATTCACGGTCAGGTATAAATCACCCCAAAATTGCTGGTGTTCAGTTCACTAAATATTGTGTGAGGAGTAGAGCGGAGCTAAACCAACCAATTAAACGGTTTCCCAAAACAGTTAGAATAGAACGTGGGGAGTTATTTGTCCTCCGTTTGGGTGGGTGTCCCTGAATGCACACTGTCTGCATTAGAGAACATGCACGTGCACCCACATAGATGTCGAATTGGGAGCAACGGCTGTGTCCATGCAGCTGCTGCATCCCAATAGACACAAATGGGGCTGAATGGACACATATGCACATTTACACCTGTGCATCCCATGCAGGCAAACACAACCCTTCATAAAGATGTATGTCTACGTACGCCAGTGTGAACCAGACCTAACTGGAGCTGCACTTTAAAAAGAAACAGTTTAAGAAGTAGTAATTTAATAATAATTAGCAAAGACTGGTGTCCTAATTGCATACATTTGTATCAAGAGTACGCCATTTATCACTGTTACAGTTCCTCTGGAACTTCCGAAAAAAGCAATAGGGAATGCTCTGATGTGTACAGTATATCAATATGCTTGAATCAAACTCACCTGTATATGGCAGTGTACATAGACAGCTGTATCCGGCAATACCATCCACACAGGTTCCTCCATTCAGACAAGGAGCTGGGGCACACTCATTAATATTAGTCTCACAAAAGTTTCCTGTATAAAAAGAAGAAATAAGTTATTATGCAAAAGGTACCATAACAAAAATGATAGAAACAACAAGACACCTAATGAGAACCCATCAAGAGTGGGCAATTCTAATAATCCTAATCTCCATTCTTAAACGGTTACCATAGCATGGCCGAATCTCTCAGTCATAGCTGTGTGTCCCAATACCAGGGAATATATACTTTTTTCTTAAACCCTGTACACATATCAGCCAAAATCAGCTAATACAGTAGATATCGGACGACATCAGACCTGTGTGTACAGGTCCTTGCTGGATAGAAGCTGATCTCACGGCCGGCTTCTGTCAAACGAGCATCCTGGAAAAACCAGCATCCAATTGGCATCTGATCAGTGGTCTCAGCCAATGGATGCGAGCGGTGACCGGATTTGTTCAGGTGGAGAAGGGGGGGGGGGGGGGGGGGGGGGGGAGTGGGGGTGGGATGTGTCCCCCGTCAAAGTAAATAGCTCAGCGGGAGATTGCTGTACCAACATTGCATCGTTTGTATAGTGACCTCCTCACAAGCTCACTTTTTCTTCCATTCAGCCCGCTAGGTTAAACAAAAGAAAAAAAAAAAAAAAAAAAAAAAAAAAACTTACCATGTGTAACAGGCTTACTACAAGTACAGGCTAAACTGTCAATTACCAAAGCTTTTCGTTTGATTTCTTCTACTCCTGAGCCCATTTCTTATTAGACAGTTTTTGTGGAAGTCAGTTATCAGGTGAGCCAAAGTTAAAATAAAATAATAAAAAAAAAAACAAAAAAACAAAAACTAAAAAACCCTTTCTATGTATTCCTCACTCCAGCAGGCCTCATGGACTATCCTCTCCTCTCCTACGGGCCCTCACCGTCCCCACGTACAATGCAGAGCTATTTGTCCTGCAACTTACATTCTTACGTGTGACCACCAACCAGAGCACCTTGGAATAGAGGTCGATATATTACAGCTTATTCGTGTACCCCCTAGACTTAACAAGCAGTTCAGCTTTACAGAAAAAAACAAAAAAAAAAAAAAAAAAAAAAAAAAACCCGATAAGGTAAGCTATACACCCTCCCCACCTTTCCCCTTCCCTCCACCCCTCCTGTAATTACCTCTGTAGGTGATGAGATGTCCATTCAACTGGTGTAGCAGTTCAGGAATTTGAAATAACTCCTTTTTTCCCCCCTTCTTTCTGCAGGGAATCCAGTATGGATCAGAGCGATTCTGATTGGTCAGTGCCAGCACAGAGAATAGCTCTGATCCATCCCAGAAGTCCTGCAGATAGAAGGTGAAGAAAGGTTGGAATTTCAGATTCCCGGACCACTACACCAGCTGTAAGGCCACAGACGGGTTATTACCCAAAGAAAAGGTAAGGACAGTGGGGCCTGGCGGGTGGGGAGGGGGGTACAGTGTTAGTTCACCTTTTCATTTTTTGAAAAGGTGAACTTAAACTTTAAGTCAGACTCTGCTTCAATCCTGTCTCTGAGCCATAGCTCTATCTTGAGAGGGAAAGAATACAAGAAAGAAAGCCATCACTGAAAGCTTATGTTGCAACAATTTGAAAGTCGTGATTCAGTTTACTGGTTCTTTTTAAAGTAGACCTGTCACTTCTATTCACACGTCTCGTGAATTAAGTGGGTGCATGTCAGAATGATCAAATCACATTATTTCTTCAAGTAAAAAAACAAAAGCCTCTTTCTTGCCATGAATAAAAACCCTAAGCTCCCTTATGCGAAGTAAAGTTTAGGTAACATGGATGAAAGTGTCTCTAGCTAAAAGTGGGTGTTTCACAGCAGCAGAGACTGCAGAGGGAGCATTGCCTTTACATACACAGACCCTGTTAATGTGCTTTCCACTGGGTAAGGCACAGGTATTCAATAGTATTACAAAAATACTAAAGGAAGGCCGATCACGACACCAAGGATGGCCATATGGGATTCATTTTTATTTTGCTTAATCAGTGGGTTGAGCAAAAGAAAATGACTTGATGTGGATGGGGGAATCCCTCCGTCTGAACTATTGTATTCTCATGGTGGGGAGACTTCCCCATCGTCAAAATACACTGATCAGCACTGCCTGCTATATTCGGCATGTTAAATCGAGAGAAAATCTTCCAACAGGCTGGTTGTACACAAGTCAATTTGCCCAAAGATGGATCGAAATTAATTTGGTCCCTGATTGCAGGCTTAAAATTGCACATAACCTTTAATGAGTATTCAGTTAATTGTGTGGTTTTTAGTGTGGCCAGAGCCAATTTGCAGACGTGCACTAAGACTAGAGCAGTGCAGTGCTCTCATTGTGTATCACTGTTAAGCAGGAAGCTGTGCTTGCATATGTAACAAATATGGTTGCCCTATTGTTCATACAGCATAGATTTCAATTATAAAATAAAAATAAAAATAAAATAAAAAGACTATTAAGCATAATTCAACTTTCTGACTGGCCAAAAATATGCATACATTTATCTTTGCACAAAAGTTACCTCGGAAGCCCTCTCGACAGCGACAGACTGGTCGTCCAAGATGGTCAGTGCAAGTTCCTCCGTTCTGACAGGTGGTGGCAGTACAAATATCACTGCTTCGCCGGTCACATGACCTGCCAGACCAGCCTTGGTGACATTCACATGCATACCTGGGGCAAGGACAAAATGCAAAAGTACATATATTAAGGAATGTACAATGTTACATAAAAAACGAACAGCAAACAACCAAGAACCATTAAAAAAAATATACCAATGGACACATAGGTGTTGATTTACTAAAGCTGAAGAGTGCAAAATCTGGTGCAGCTGTGCATGGTAGCCAATCAGCTTCTAATTTCAGCTTGTCAAAGCCTAACTGAACAATAAAACCTGGAAGCTGATTGGTTTCTATGCAGAGTTGCACCAGATTTTGCACACTCCAGTTTTAATAAATCAACCCCAATGTGTTATAAATGCAAAACAAACCAAACATAAATCCCTAGAAAACTGGGTACACAGTAAACAAAACTAGGCTTCATATAAGTTTCCTTTAACTATAATATTAATAAGCTTTCATTTAAGTGCTCCAAGGTGATACATTGCCAGTACTTACATCTCACTGACTTTACGACACACACCATGGACACACGAAGGGGTGCATAACTGGGTGGGGTTACACAGAGAGTCACGAGGACCGCCACCTTCAGGACAAACACAGCGGAAACCATTCTGTGTAATTTGACAGGTTCCTCCAGCTCGGCATGGGTTGGATGCACATGGAGACACCTCTATGTTACAGAGAGGACCTAGAAGACATCAACACATGATCTGCGCTCAGAAAAAGGAGAAAGAAAAACGGATGGGCGCTACAGATTGGTTACATTTGCTTTATAGGAGGACCCACGTGAGTTACTGGAACCTGGTGAGAGGGGGGAGAGAGAGCGAGCGAGAGAGAGGGGAGGGGGGGAGAGAGGGGGGGGAGAGAGAGAGGGGGGGAGGGGAGAGGGGGAGAGGGGAGAGGGAAGAGGGGGAGAGGGAAGAGGGGGAGGGGGAGAGAGAGAGAGGGGAGAGAGAGAGAGGGGAGAGAGAGAGAGGGGGGGGGGGAGGGGGGGGGGAGAGGGGAGAGAGAGAGGGGGAGAGAGGGGGAGAGAGAGAGGGGGGGAGAGGGGGAGAGAGGGGAGAGAGAGGGGGAGGGGGGGAGAGGGGAGAGAGAGAGGGGGGGGGGAGAGGGGAGAGAGAGGGGGGGGAGAGGGGGAGAGAGGGGGGGGGGGGGGGGGGGGGAGAGGGGGGAGAGGGGGTGGGGGAGAGAGAGGGGGGGGGGGGAGGGGGGGGGAGAGGGGGAGAGAGAGGGGGGGGAGAGGGGGGGAGAGGGGGGAGAGAGAGAGGGGGGATGGGGGAGAGGGGAGAGAGAGAGGGGGGGAGAGGGGGAGAGAGGAGAGGGGGGGGGGGGGGGGAGAGAGGGGGGGGGGGGGGAGAGGGGGGGGAGAGAGAGAGGGGGGGGGAGGGGAGAGAGAGGGGGGGGGGGAGAGAGGGGGGGGGGGGGGGGGGGAGAGGGGGGGAGAGAGAGAGAGGGGGGGGAGAGGGGAGAGAGAGAGGGGGGGAGGGGAGGGGGGGGGAGAGAGAGGGGGGGGGGGGAGAGGAGAGAGGGGGGGGGGGAGAGAGAGGGGGGGGAGGGGGGAGAGAGAGAGGGGGGGGAGGGGGGAGAGGAGAGAGAGGGGGGGGGAGAGGGGAGAGAGAGGGGGGGAGAGGGGAGAGAGGGGGGGGGAGAGGGGAGAGAGGGGGGGGAGAGGGGAGAGAGAGGGGGAGAGAGGGGAGAGAGAGGGGGAGAGAGGGAGGGGGAGAGAGGGAGGGGGGAGAGAGAGAGGGGGAGAGAGAGAGGGGGGGGGAGAGAGGGGGGGAGAGAGAGAAAGCGAGGAGAGAGAAAGCGAGAGAGAGAAAGCGAGAGAGAGAAAGGTCGAGAGAGAGAAAGCTGCTCTTGAGAGAGAAAGCGAGAGAGAGAAAGCGAGAGAGAGAAAGCGAGAGAGGAAAGAGAGGGGAGCGAGAAAGGGGAGAAAGGGGGCGGGAAAGCGAGAAGGGGAGAGAGGAAAGCGGGAGGGGAGGGGGGGCGCGAGAGAGAAAGCGCGAAAGCGCGAGAGAAAGAGAAAGCGGGGAGAGGGAAAGGGCGAGAGAGAAAGGGGGGCGAGAGAGAAGGCGCGAGAGAGAAGCGGGGGGAGAGGGGAGGGAGAAAAGCGCGAGAGGCGGAGAGAGAAAGCGCGAGAGGGGGGGGGGGGGGGAGAGGGCGGGGGGGGGGGGGAGGCGAGAGGAAAGGGGGAGAGGGGAGAGAGAAAGCGCGAGGAGCGCGAGAGAGAAAGCGCGAGAGCGGAGAGAGAAAGCGGAGAGCGCGAGAGAGAAAGCGCGGGAGCGACAGAGAGAAAGCGCGAGAGCGACAGAGAGAAAGAGGCGGGAGAGCGACAGAGAGAAAGCGGTGGAGAGCGACAGAGAGTGGCGCGACAGGGGGGAGCGCGAGAGCGACAGAGAGAAAGGCGAGGAGAGCGACAGAGAGAAAGCGCGAGAGCGACAGAGAGAAAGCGGGAGAGGGAGAGCGACAGAGAGAAAGGGGAGAGAGCGGGAGAGAAAGCGCGATGAGAGCGAGAAAGAGCGCAAAAGAGAGCAAGAGAGAGCAAGAGAGAGCAAAAGAGAGCAAGAGAGAGCGAGAGAGCGCGCGAGAGAAAAACAGAGCGAGAGAGCAAAAGAAGAGAGCGATAGAGAGCAAAAGAAGAGAGCGAGAGAGAAAAGAAGAAGAGAGGAGAGAGCAAAAGAAGAGAGCGAGAGAGCGAGAAAGGGAGCGAGGAGAGCGAGAAAGGGAGCGAGAGAGAGCGAGAAAGGGAGCGAGAGAGCGAGCAAGAGAGAGAGAGCAAGAGAGAGAGAGAGCAAGAGAGAGAGAGCAAGAGAGAGAGAGCGAGCAAGAGAGAGCGAGCAAGAGAGAGCGAGCAAGAGAGAGCGAGCAAGAGAGAGCGAGCAAGAGAGAGCGAGCAAGAGCGCAAGAGAGAGCGAGCAAGAGCGCAAGAGAGAGCGAGCAAGAGCGCAAGAGAGAGCGAGCAAGAGCGCAAGAGAGAGCGAGCAAGAGCGGGAGCGAGCAAGAGAGAGCGAGCGAGAGGAGAGAGAGAGTGAGCGAGCGAGCGAGCAAGAGTGAGAGAGAGAAGAAAAAGAGCGAGAGGGAGAGAAAAAGAGAGCGAGGGAGAAAAAGAGAGCGAGGGAGAAAAAGAGAGAGCGAGGGAGAAAAAGAGAGCGAGGGAGAAAAAGAGCGAGAGAAATATGACTGAAAGATACAGTGCCTTGAAAAAGTATCCATACCCCTTGAAATTTTCCACATTTTGTCATGTTACGACCAAAAAAACGTAAATGTATTTTATGTGATAGACCAACACAAAGTGGCACATAATTGTGAAGTGGAAGTAAAATGATAAAAAATTTTTTGCAAATAAATATCTGAAAAGTGTGGTGTGCATTTATATGCAGCCCCCTTTACTCTGATACCCCTAACTAAAATCTAGTGAAACCAACTGCCTTCAGAAGTTACCTAATTAGTAAAGAGAATCCACCTTTGTGTAATTTAATCTCAGTATAAATACAGCTGTTCTGTGAAGCCCTGTGAGGTTTGTTTGTTAGAGAACATTAGTGAACGAACAGCATCATGAAGGCCTACGAATACACCAGACAGGTCATGGATAAAGTTGTGGAGAAGTTTAAGGCAGGGTTAGGTTATAGAAAAAAAAATCCCAAACTGAACATCTCACAGAGCACTGTTCAATCCATCATCTGAAAATGAAGAGTATATCACAATTGCAAACCTACCAAGACATGACCATCCACCTAAACTGACAGGCCAGGCAAGGAGAGGCCCATGGTAACTCTGGAGAAGCTGCAGAGATCCACAGCTCAGGTGGGAGAATCTGTCCACAGGGAAACTATTAGTTGTGCACTCCACAAATCTGGCCTTTTTGGAAGAGTGGAAAAAGAAAGCCATAAGAAGTTCTGCTTGCAGTTTGTGAGAAGCAATGTGGGGGACACAGCAAACATGTAGAAGGTGCTCTGGTCAGATGAGACCAAAATTTAACTTTTAGGCCTAAAAGCAAAACACTATGTGTGGCGGAAAACTAACACTGCACATCACCCTGAACACACTATCCCCACTGTGAAACATGGTGGTGGCAGTATCAGGTTGTGGGGATGCTTATCTTCAGCAAGGACAGGGAAGCTGGTCAGAGTTGATGGGAAGATGGATGGAGCTAAATACAGGGCAATCTTAGAAGAAAACCTGTTAGAGTCTGCAAAAGACTTGAGACTGGGGCAGAGGTTCTCCTTCCAGCAAGACAACGACCCAAAACATCCAGCCAGAGCTACAATGGAATGGTTTAGATAAAAGCATATTCATGTGTTAGAATGGCCCAGTCAAAGTTCAGACCTAAATCCAATTGAGAATCTGTGGCAAGACGTGAAAATTGCTGTTCACAGACGCTCCCCATCCAGTCTGACAGAGCTTGAGCTATTTTGCAAAGAAGAATGGTCAGAAATGTCCCTCTCTAGATGTGCAAAGCTGGTAGAGACATCCCCAAAAAGACTTGCAGCAGTAATTGCAGTGAAAGGTGGTTCTACAAAAGTACTGACTCAGGGGGGGCTGAATACAAATACCGCCACACTTTTCACAGATTTATTGGAAAACAATTTTGAAAACCATTTATCATTTTCCTTCCACTTCACAATTTGCCACTTTGTGTTGGTCTATCACATAAAATCCCAATAAAATACATTTGTTTTTGGTTGTAACATGACAAAATGTGGAAACTTTCACGGGGTATGAATACTTTTTCACAGGCACTATAGATAGACACAGCAAAAAAGAAAAAAAAAAAAAAAAAAAAAAAAAAGGAGAAAAAGGAGACAAAAGATAGAGAAAAGGAAAGAAAGAATACATTTTATATGTCAAAGCCTAGATCAAAAAGGCAGCCAGCAGGTATTGTATTGATGTAAGAAAAAAAAAGTAACCTTTCAGCATGAGGTCAGCCAACGATCCTGTGGTCACGCTGGAACTTTTAGTTCCTCAGAGTCCAGAAATCTACCCATTACCCATTTGTGACCTTAGACCCCTTTTCCACTTTATATTTCTTACCATGTTGTTTTTCCCCCCAAACACCATCTGTTCTTTATTAAAAGAGATATTCCATCTACCACTAGCTGACCATTTATGGTTCTCAAAACGGAGAGAGATATGTTGTTGTAAGAAGAAAAAAATAGATCTTCCTCCATTAGCACAGAAATAGATTTAAGAAAACATAGTTTAGTCCAGGAAAAGCGCCCAGAGCATGAACTAGCAATCTGTCCCTGACACTGAAATAACCAGCAGAGGGGTCAACCAGCATCAGCTGTGTACACATCACACCAGTACAGCTGGTGGCTATAAGTGTACATCTACTCCCCTGCAACCCAAAGACCTGGAATTTCATAGGTGCAATGCTGGGATTTACAGACTGAAATCTAAAGATGGCTGGTTCACAGGCTGCCAGTAGATTGGTCGATTTCACACACTGTAACACAGAGTCCACTGTGAAGGTGGTATCTCACATTGATCATACCATCATCATGCCTTTCACCATACAAGTAAACATTGATTGACAGTTCATGGAAGTTTGGCTATTTAGTAGACAGAAATTTGCCCATGCGTGGTCAGCATTAACTTGGTTGTAGATAGAACGTACTTTATGAGGTCAGCTGATCGTCATGCACCAGAATATGCCAAAGTAATCGTTCCAATTTATCAGGATTCGTTTTTTGATATGCCCAGTAAAAAAGGACCGCAAAAGATTTTTAAAAATTATAAAGAAATATATCTCAATTGATTCTGAAAGGCAATTTAAAGCTGCCATATAACTAGCAAAATTGTCCCACATTTATTCATTTTGTGACCAAATGCAGCCATCCATATAATGACTGCCAAAGCTGAAATGAACAAAATGCTTTGTCAATCCCAAAGCTGGATTAAAAGATCTTGAGAAATGTAAGACTGGCCATAAATGGATAGGAAAATAAATATATATATATATATATATATATATATATATATATATATCCCCAATTGTGGTGGAGATGAAGGAATCCTTCCCGCTGTGCTACTGTACTCCTTTGCTGTCAGAATACACCCATTGGCTGCGGTGCTGATCGAAACATATTTTCCAACATTCCTGTTCCAAAAGAAGTCAATCATTGGATCAACTTCACTGGAGCTGGAATAGCCACAGATGGATTGAAATTTGGCAGCTTCCTGCTGAGCTGAATTTCAATTTATCTATGGCTAGCTCAAGGTACATTTGCAATATCAAGGCTTCTGGAAAGATGTAATAAATGAACATAATGCATCAATATGAATTTATTGTTTAGGAATTCTGGTGAGCATGTTTCCATATAGATTGCCTGAAATGTATGTAACATTTTATGTGATTCAATTAAAGCCTGGTGTTTGTAAGTGTCCTAGGATAATAGAGCCAAAAACTATTTAAAGGCTCCATGCACACGGGGCATTTTGAGAACGCTGGTAACGTTAGCGGTGTAAAGTCACATTAAAAAACATGAGTGTTTCAGCTTTTTTTTTAATGCTTTTGCATTATAGTTTTGTGGCGTTTTTTTCCATGTTTTGTGTTCTTTACAAAAAAAAAAAAAAAGTCCAAAAACGCCGGTTTGTGGCGTTTCACCGTGTTTTTCAGTGTTAAGAGAGCGTTTTTACAGCCCAACAAAACTCCTCTAGAAACTCACTATTCCTGTTTTTTTTCCCAGCCAAAAAAACGTTGGTGTGCATAGGATAACATGATGGGGATTTTACTGGCAGTAGAAAAAAACCATCAAAAGCCAAAAACAGCCCCTGTAAAAACGTCCAGTGTGCATGAGGACTAAAGCATATATCAAAAACACATTCAAAAATCCCTATGCAGTCCCTTTAAATAAAAAGGCATCCTGAAGAGTTAAACTCGGTTTCACATTTAAAGTTCTAATAAAATATAATGAAGTTAAAAAAAAAAAAAAAAAAGTTTCAAGTTCAAAGTACTTGCTGTTGTCGCAGCAGACAAAACCATCTGCATTTCAGTTCATAATTGAGAAAAACAGCCTGGAAAATGAGTGTGGTAGTTAATGCATGTCACCATCTGTTTCCAGCTGGACAGTGCTGTCCGGTCCCCACCTCTACAAGGCCCTTATTGTGTACTAAGAGCTGTAAAAATCAAATTACACCACTCTGAGCATTCCTAAAATATCTCACCCAACTTCAAAGTGCCCTTCTAGCTTCCCCTAAGTTCAGCAAGTACTAATAGGATGATAGGTCCTCTTTCCCAGAGGATCTACATTTGTCAAGATACACATAGAATCATTTATTGTAAGTAAAGCCTTCTTATTAATAAATGATAATTTCCTTTTCTGTTGGGAGGACATAGACATTGATCTTTAAGTGTATTACAAACTGAAAATTGCCATTCCCTATCCATTGTAAGTTTGCACACACACAGGGATATGTCTTCATATATTTGTTTTTTTCAATGTAGGTTATTACTATACATAGGTACACACTTTCCATTGGCAACATGTTTTTATTTGTATTAACTTTATTGCTCACCCCCGCTTGTATCAACTCCCGTTTACAGGATGACTAATCCCAAGAACAAAAATGTAACATTGCAGTTTACAGTCCTTAGATGTGGTGGCTACATTAGTATTTTTAAAGCTAAGAATATTTCCTGATATTAAATCTATTGAATGCCGTATCCTTGTCACTTCCTGTGAACTATCCCGAAGAACATCTTCTTTACTAGCCATCTTCTGTAAACTTTCAATTGCCCTGCTCCCTATGTACTTAAGATGAAGAGACAGACATGTTGGTAGTCCATATCTGCAGAGCAGCCTAGAATGACAACCATGGCCCCCTCCATAATACAGTGCAGGAGTGATATAGCCACTCAGAGGCAGGAATCACCAGGTGAAAATAAAGCAAATGTAGCTTTACAAAGAAAACTAATTCAGCTGCCAAATCAAGGATTAATGAGCTGCAAAATATTTTTGGCTTAGATATGAAATGAAATGTGCCCCTGCATTCCCCCCCCCCTCGCACGGGCAGTCTATATGATGGCGATACCACCCTCCAGCACCACCATGGTGTTATGTGCTTTTCAGAGACTGTATCAGGACTGCACCTTACAACCGCAATGTAAAATGTTAATATTGAATACCTGTGAATCCTGGTTTGCACACGCACTCATATTTGTTGATTCCGTCTTTACATTCTCCATAGTCACATGGGTTGCTGGCACAGTCGTCATAATTGTACTCGCAGTTCATACCTAAAATCAGCAAAAAAAAAATATGACGGCATAATCCCAACTCAAAAAAAGCTGTGGCCCTATGTATAGCCTTCTAAGGGGCTCTACAGGGACACAGGGATCAACTTCAAGACCAGACAAGGCACCTCATGGATAATGATTTTTTAATTTTATTGCCAGGTCAGGGTCACATTAAAAAAAGCAAGCTTTACTTGTGCAAGGCCTATGAAGTTAGAAGACAACCAGCCAGACATCTGCCAATACCGGCCTTACGAAAACAGGACCAATGGTTGGCCCAAAACAGCCCACAGAAGGTTGCAGATTGGCACTACCTTTCCCATTTGAACAGAAGGGTGAAGCAAGACTTAGACTAGGACTATCTGTCCTGAAAAGACAATCTTCTCTACAGAGATCCCCTTTATATAAAGCAATGCAATTCACACATCTAATCAGGTGAGGAATACAGAATTATAAAACATTTTAGGCTTACCTGAGGTTCCTGGCTGACAGTAGCACAAGTATTTGTTGACCAGGTCAATACATTTTCCTCCATTCGTACAGGGGTTACTGTGGCACTCGTTTATCTGGTTCTCGCAGCGATAGCCAGTATATCCAGGGTCACACGTACAGGTAAAGCTGGCAATACCATCCCGGCACTTCCCATGGTGGCACGGGTCAGGGGAACATTCATTTATGTTACGCTCACAAAGCGTACCCTCAAAACCTGCAAGAGAGATGCAAGAACAATTAAGAACAGTAGAAGGGAAAAAAAGATGGCCGATATATGGTAGAAGGAAGCTGAAACAAGCAAAAACATGCCAAATGGAAGAGCCAAAACAGGAGATGTTTTTGAATGAGTCAATAGTAGAGGGCCATGGAGGAGCTGAAAACCAAGCATGGCGCTAAAAGCAGAGCACAGCCACTGAGGAATCCTGGCCTGGCAAAAGCAGAAGATGAAGGAGCATGAAGCACAGCAGACTGCACCAGCTAGGCCAGAGGGAGGGCTGGGAGGAAGCGAGCTGCAGGCAAGATGGAGCAGATGGAAATCTACAGACAAGACTTACCTCCCTGAACATAGAAAGAGACATCCAGAGAGCGTGAGAGAGAACAGGACACAGCATCAGAGACAGACCCAAGGAGTAAGGCTACCCTCAGTCAGATAACCTGCAGCGAAGAACTCACCCTCCGCACAACGACACTCGTAACCGTTGGGTCTATCCACACACTTAGCTCCGTTCTTACAGGGAGTGCTGGCACACTCGTCAATGTCAATCTGGCACATGGAGCCTGAGAAACCTAAAGAAGATGCATGGTTAAATATACTTAAAGGAAAAACCTTCACCAAAAGATATAGTTTGTGAAGAACATGGATTACATAATGGTCCAATCACTCTAAAACATATACTGAAGGATAGCCAATTCTTTTAGCTTTATAAAATTATTTAATTAGGTTATGCCATTCAACTAAACAGAAGCTTAGATGGAGAAAAGAAACATCCACACTGTGACTGAAGGAAGAGCCCCAACGCATGTATTTTTGTATGAATGCCTGTTTCTGTGGGGGTAGGGAGGGAGGAAAAAAAAATGTTTCCCTTAACTTTTCATGTAAGTTTTTTTTTTTTTAACGTTTGATTTTATTGCTATCACATAGGGGACCAATAGCTCCAAATGTGACAGCATATAAGCGATAGGTGTCACGTGATCTCCCCAGCGACTGGCTTCAGGGAAAAGGAGAGAGCTGCAATGCCTGGGTAGTGATATCTTTCATAGGCTTACTATGGGGCATTTGTTGTTGGTTGTCCCTACTCTACATTGAAGCCAGCACTGGGAGCTGATCATGTGACCAGACCAGAGCACCCCGAGAGTGGGTAAGTACAAGTATCTTCTTTTTAAAGAGTAATATAGGATTTAGAAAGGAGAGTGAAGCATAGTTAGACAGATCCTGGACTTCCACTTTATTGAAATTGCGGTTAGATTTTTTTTTGTTGTTGTTATAGAGTAGGAAACTCTATATCACTTGTCTTGGAGACATTAAACTAACTGTAATTACTCCACAGTGTAACATTTTTTATTTCAAATTACTTTCTGTCCAGGTAAAAGTGGTCACAAGGAAAAATAGAAAGGGTGAATCTCCCCATGCTGGATACAGGTGATAAAAACGCGACAGTGATTCTAACCCCCTCACCACATTATACAAAACTGAAAAAATAAATAGAAGTACACTTTAAAGCAACCAACACTTTAAATCAATCAACTGGCTATCTGATTTGCTCTGGAAGCAAGCCAATTTAAATAGCTATACAAAAGATGGTAGCAGAATATGGCAGAATGTAATCCCCAGAACACTCTGTCACAGGGTAGAATGATTAAAATGTAGTTAACTGTAACTAAGCATAATTTATGGAAAAAATACTTACCAGCAGGACAGCTGCAGGTAAATCCATTCACCATATCCTTACAAACGCCTCCATTAACACATGGACTGCTGTCACATTCATTAATATTGAGCTCACAGAAGGTACCAGTAAAACCTGGAGGAGGAGAAGATGAGAACAAAAAACTTCAATACTGGAAAATATACTGGCAGTAGACATCATACACTTGTCTAATCAGGAATGGAGCAACTTACCAGCCATACAAATACAGGTGAATTCCCCTATCCGGTCCAGGCAGGTAGCATCGTTCTGGCAGGGTGTGGACAAACACTCATTCACATCAGTTTCACATCGAGGACCAGTGTAGCCCCGACCACATTGACACTGGAAAGAACCCTGAGTGTTCACACAACGACCAAAGTGCTCACATGGATTGGCACCTACAAAGTCGAACATACTTCTTAACGTCACTATATTTAAAGCTCAACTGCAGTTAAAAAAAATGAAGAACAATAATAAATATATAGAAAACAGTTTTTGCTTTAATACTCTCCTTCATTTTGGAACTGTCCGACTGAAATGTCTTTTCATAAATAGATGTCCCCAAGTTTTCTGGGTTGAGCGGGATTCAACCCACTTCAACTGAGCCCAGGCTGGCATGGACATGCCCTCTAGGTCTATGTATTCCTTTGCAGTGTGTGTATATAAATAAGCTCAACCCCAGGCATGGAGCCAAAGACACCTCTGAGTTACATATAGTATATGTGGTCTGTTTCACCAAAGGATTTAGGAGCAATGAGAAAGTAGAACCAGATAGGTTATGGTGTGAATGTGCCAAAAGAAACCAAAAAACTCACCGCTGAATATCTGTGCTATAAACCAGGTGTTCTGAATGTGCATTTGGCTAAGGGGCATGGATGATTAGCAAGGCCAAGGGGCATAAATTAATGATTTGCATGGCATTACCCTTTAGTCTAAAATGGGGAATAAAACCCTTGTTTGAGGAGTTGTGATTGACATAAGACAGAAGAAACCTTTTTTCTCAAGAAAAGACAGTGTTTCACAGTCAACTGTGTTCCCAGCCAATGTTCTGAGTGTACTCTATTTAGCAAGGGTCATATTTTTATGTGATGCTGGTACTCTTGAGGAAGCCCTGCTTTTGTGTTTTTTTTTCAAGTTTTAAGAAGGCTTTATTGCCCTTCACCAAAGAATATGTAATTATCCTCAGCCAGTGTTGTGATACTGGTGGACAACATAGTCAGGTTCTGGACCTCCACTGCTGTGGTACAACAGGGATACGCACACATTTGCTCTGGGATAGTCAATGAAAAGCTAAGAAGCAAAAATAAGGTCGAAAGAGCCAGAATTTTCCCCTTCAAAAACAAGTCAGCAATGGTAGCCTGCATATTCCATTCCTGACAGGTTCTCTAAACGTACTCATAGTTTTGTAATTTGTGGATGAAGCCAAACAACTTTATAGTGACTTGGCTACAGCAAGGGGTGTATTCCCCTTTACAGCCTAGCACAGCCAAATCAGTGTGTAAATGCTCTTAATAATCTAACCACAGCACAGCCTGCATATAGTTCAAATGTTTTCCTTGTGCCGGCATGGGTTTTCTCTGGGTACTCCTCCCACACTCCAAGTACATGCTGGTAGGTTAATTGTCTCCTGTCTAAATTGGCCCCAGTACGTGTATGTGTGAATGTGAGTTAGGGACCTAAGATTGTAAGCTCTTTGAGGGCAGCAACTGATGTGAATGTACAATATATATGTACAGTGCTGTGTAAATGGTCAGCACTATATAAGTGTCTGTAATAAGTAAACCCACATCTATGATCAATCGCTGTGCTAGAAGTCCACCATATCCTCTGCAGTTAGGTGGGGAGAAGGAGCTGTATGCAAATACTTACCTATCGAGCATTCATCCACATCTTGGTCACAAGCTCCCCCGGTAAACCCAGGAGGACACGTGCAGATTGCTCGTCCGTTCACTGGGTTAGTGTCACACATGGCATCCTTGTGGCAAGGATTACTAACACATGCATCCTCCAAATGACATAGGAGACCTGGCAAAGAAAAGACAAGTAGGTAAAAAAAATAATAATCCAGCAATGTTGTTATACTGGATTAAAATTTAAATTGAAATACTTATGTAAATAAATAGAATATTTTAAAGCGTATGTCACTTTACACCATCTATTTTTCTAGGTTAGCAGCCAAGCTGGGCCAAAGGAGAATGTGTTGATTATTCTTCTATGGAATGAATAGTCAGGGAGTCAGCTATGTGTTGGAAAATGTCGCCCCACCATACCGACTCCATTTTTTTCATTTCATAACTGAGCTTATTTTTATAGTGTACATTTTGTTGAAAAAACCCGTTGATCCTGCCAGTGAGGCACTCTTCCTACTTTGCAGTGTCAACGATATGCAGGCTCATCTTGTCTCCACAGCGTCATCGCAGCAATGCACATTTTTTGGATCTTTATTTATTTTTTTTAAACTGCATCTACGGAGTACTCTACCCTACAAGAGGCTTATGTCACAAGTAGCACTACCTAGCAGGGTAGATAATGGGACTGGATTGACAAGGCCTTCTTCATGAAGTCTAACTCATTTATTCTCGCAGCCGTCCTGCAAAGCATATCGTGAATACATTTGCTCCCCACCCTCCCTGCTCAGAAAATGGAGGACAGATAAGCAGTCACAAGGCCACTCATAAATCATTGAGAATGGATAATTTATGAGAAAATTATTTTATAGCAAAGGTTGAAGGAAACTGTAAATTGTGTTTGTTAACCTTTACCCACTGAGCCCTGGTGTCCCTTTAACTTGGTGATTACGCTCGGTTTTGGGGCAATGGTCAGAGGTCTGCCTGATCGTGCTAACTGTGATTGGCAAGACTGGTTCCCGATCACTACTTCACTAACAGACCAGGAGCTGTCCTTGACAGCTCGGTCTCCGTTCTCAGACTCCACAGTGAGTGTGTTCTCTGTGCAAAAACCTCTGCTGCCCATGGACGCACATATGCAGTGTGTAGGTTTTAAAGCCTACCGTCTTTGCCACCACACATATGTGTTACATTGGCTGCAAGAGGTTAATTGGCAGCCTCTGGGTTTACAAGCACTCTTACTAAAACCATCAAAATTATACTTCGTGGACAGTGCCAGGAAAAAAACGCTTTTTAATTCTTGGTGAAGGTGCAGCAAGGTTTAGAACCTCCATCAGGATTTTACGGTTTGGTTCCCCATTGGAGAGAGGTCCCCTCAAACTCTTCCCCCCTTTCATCATGGCAGGAAGCAAGGGGAAACCTCTTAAACCAAAAAGCAACAACTTTATTTATTCTATAGTTATGTTATTTTATCTTCTCTCAGTTATAAGATTTTTCATAGGTATTTTCAAGTTTGCAGATGATTAAAAGATAATCATCTTTTGATTGATGTTTGTTGTTGTCCATGTCTCTCTACTGTTTGTCTTTGCTTAACCCCCGGTCTACTCTGTCCTTAAACATATCTTATAGACTGTGTTTGCTGTTTTGTGCAGTATTATCTATGCGATCTAGATTTCTTTGTAAACTCTAGGTTTTGAATATGTACCATTTTTTTTCTGGAGAGGCCTCCTCTCGAGTCTTTCCTGTTTTTTATACTGCTGATGTAGCAAAAAAAAAAAAACCCACTTTAGTGTTTATATTATCATTGACCCACGAAGGTTTGTTAATCGTACCCTTTCAACCCCCTCCCCTATCTTTTCTTACGGGGCACCTATGTAAACCTTCTGGCATATGACTTTATCAATGCTTGCTTTTAACTAGCTGACCCCCACACAATACAATTTACAATTGTTGGTCATTGATTCTATGTTCCGAATGTTTGTTTATCTTTGCTTAATACTCAATAAAGCTCTTTGTAAAAGAAATCTTACAAAATGTACAGATCTACCCCCAAGATAGTCTGATGCGACTGAGATAAAGGGCATCCTCAAATCTCAATTCCCACTTACATTTTGTTAAATTGATTAAAAAGTGTAGTCAAGTCAATTTTGTTTTCGGTGGAGAAGAATTAAAACTCCAGGTCACGTTTTTATGGCTATTGAGCTCCTGTATAGGTATTTCCCCTCACGTCCTGTCCAGGTGACAATGGTTTTTTCAAACAGGAAATAAGGGGACAGAAACAAAAATCTGACATTTTGTTCCCTACAGCAAAACGTAAACTCTTAAATGAATGACACAACTATCCCACACTCACCAGTCTTGCCCATAGGGCACTCGCAATAAAATGAAGCTACGCGGTCATGGCAGGTGGCACCATTGAAGCAGACAGCAGTGGCACAGTCATCTATGTTCTCACTGCAGCTCTCTCCCGTCCAGCCATTGACACAGACACATGTGTGTCCACCCTGAGTGTTAAAACAGGTACCACCATTGTGACAGGCGTTGGGCTGGAGCTGGCACTCATCTACATCTTCTGTACAGAACTGACCTGTGGCAAGAATATATATGGATTTTTTTAAAGTCACAAAGTGTTATTCAATGCAATTTTTTTAAAATTAGAGCACAAATGTTATACTCACCTGCTCTGTGCAATTGTATTGCACAGAGCGGCCTGAACCTCCTCTCCTCAGGTCCACCACCGGTGCTCTAGGCTTCTTCTTTGCTTTGTCTGCCCCTATAGCAAGACTTGCTATGGAGACAGAGGTGCAGGCTCTATCCCAAGCCGGATTCTGTGTGTCCATAGATGCACACAGCGCAGTTTGGCCCTCTCCCCCACTCCCTCCTCACAGGACTTAACTGACCGCAGCAGTGAGGAGAGAGAGCAGCAATGCTGCTCTCAAGCACAGCCCCAGCATCAATACAGAACTCTGGTAAGTATTTATTTAGAGCCTGTAGCTTGCAGTCTATGAATGGTCAATACGGTGACACCACTATTTGGAGTCTGTAGCTTTATGAATGTTCAATAGGGTGACACCATTATTTAAAGCCTGTAGCTCTGCAGCTTGCCATCTATGCATGAGCATCTCTCCTCTCCCGTAAAATGTCTAAGCACATCCTTCCACTGGCTCACCCAGGCAGACCAAGGTGTTCAGAGAACCAATTTCTCTGATATGACTCCAGTCCAAGCATCAGTGGTTGCTGACTGCTCCAGCTCCTGTGATTGGTTAGTTAGGCCAACAACAGTGAATGGCCAACAGTGTGAAAGAGCAAGACAAAGCCAAAATCATAGCAAGTCAATCCATAATTAAAAAACAGCCCTGCTACCCAGCTTCAGAGACAAAAATGAATAGGTTATAATTAAGATTGTAACAGCTTTTGTTTTAGTTTAGATATAAATTGGAACGAAACCTAAAACAAATATAGTAAGTTAAGCAAATAGGCAGCCATGACTTACCTGTCCACTCAGGGGGACACTGACAATTGTAAGTGTTGACTCCATCTACACACGTGGCACTATTCATGCATTTATGGTCAGGACAGTCATCCACATTGATTTCACAGTTTGGTCCTTCAAAGCCTATGAACAAAAAATCATTAGAGTAATAGGTCACAAAGCCCTTCTTGTTTTTGAAAGGAAGGGACAAACAAAAGGGTGACATTTCCTTACCTGGCAGGCAGACACACTGATAGGCGAGATCTCCAGTCGGGCGGCAGGTGCCTCCGTTCTGGCACTGGGAAGGTGCACATGGCACATAGTTGGCCTCACAGAACTGACCAGTAAAAACTACTTGGGCAGCGACAACGGAAAGATCCAGGGGGGTGTTAATACACTGTCCTCCATTTTGGCAGAGCCCAGCTGTTCGACATTCGTCAATATCCAGACGGCAGCTGCGGCCCTGGTATCCTGGTGGGCAGGTACAGTTGTAGCGGCCATTCCAATTGGTGCAGCGGGCACCATTCTCACATGGGTTAGTTGCACAGGCATCGATGAGAGAACAATCCTGACCTAAAAAAAAAAACAGCCAAGATGAGCCACTGACCAATTAGGTAGCACAGTGGCCACGGGGTAATACCCTTGTTTTGCAGAGGTTTAGAGTAGGATTCCTGCCAAAGACATAACCCACATGATATGGTTATAAATACTTTAGGTATATTAGATTGCAAATTTAGAGGGCAGGTACTAACGTGAATGGTTCTGTCTATCTGAGCTCTGCATAATATATTGGAACAATCTAAAAGTGTAAAATGAAAACACTCTCCCCTCCATGATTCCAGTTCACAAGAAGCACCTACCTCTAAAACCCTTGGGACAGTTACATTCATACTGGATAGTTCCTCCTCGGATTGAGTGCCGGCAGACGCCTCCATTAACACAAGGTGTTGGAACACATGGATCTTTAAACTCGCAATAGTCTCCAATCCAGCCAGTGAGACATCTGAAAAGGCAACAAGAATTCAGGTTACCAATCACAGATATACACTAATTCCAACTATACAGGCTACTACAGTAATAACTGTTATTGCAACCCAAAATATTTATAAAGCTTCACACAACTGCAAAAGAAAATGGCCCACTAAAATGGTTATTTCAATTGTGGAAGGGCACAGGTGTAGCTGATCCTTCTTCTGGCGTTAGATACCTCTTGAAGAATCAAGTGTTGAGGTTTCCACTACTTCTGGCAGTTTCTTTCTCTGAGTACCCCACATGAACAGAATTATAACATTTCTTTGAACTGTAGTTTCTGAACAAGAAACCCCCCAATTGTTTCTATATTCTAAATTACAGAGAACCCATTAAGAGGAGCATGACACCATCATTTGGGGCTGCAATGTTCGCAGTAGTTGGGTGGAGCTGGGAATTTTGGTGTCAAAATCCTACTAAGGAATTCTCAAATTTAAATTGACAGAATGTGGATGAACTTATTAGACCTACAAAACTAGATACAATTGACTTTAAATGCCAAAAAGATAGACAATACCCCCATATCGCAGAACAAATCATTGAAAACTATATCAGGCTAAGTTTATGCTTGCAGCAGACTATCACTTCTCTGTAAAGTGATCTATAGCAAATCGCCTTCCAGGGGCATTTGACGGGAGGTGAGGAGGAGATGTCACCTCTTCACTGCCCGTTTTAACCAGGTAATGCCTGCACAACCACACTGGGGCCTCACCACAACCACCCTATCACTTAAATGGGATGTTTTCGGCAGCAGTAAGGGGGATAACGCTTGCTGTGGCATGCGTATGACCTCGTCCTGCTTCCTGTGCGACAAGGGGAGGGGGGGGGGAATGTAAAAACACAGCTCACCCACTGATCTGGACCATTTCAAGCTCACTAGATTTCTGTCAGGATCAAGAGGTATAACCAATTACTTTTAATAGTATATTTAAAGAGGAGACGTATAGCCAAAGTTATTTTGGCTACACATCTGGGGATCACAGGAGTGCAGTTGATTCTGCACTCCTGTGACCTCTTTTCAGTTGATAGCGGTCTACGACCCACTGTTAGCGGACATCACTCAGCTGATCCAGACTCTGGAAAGATCCCGACTTTAGAGTTGAGATCTACCCAGATGTCTGGACCGACAGCTGGCTCAGCCTCTCAGGGAGCCGCTTTGAGCCTGGGCTAGTGGCTCCCTCCCCCTCCACAGACCAGCGCTCAAGTGAGTGCTGGATGGGCAGAGCAGAGAGCCTATTACTGACAGTCACTTGCTCTCTGTTTGCTGAAGACTGAGAACTGAGCAATCAATGGCATTTGATCACTCAGTTCTCGGTCTTAGAGCCAGTGGGAGGCAGATGCAGCATCAGACTGATGCTGCATCCACCTTTTTTTTCAAACCCATACTTCTTTAACAGCCCAAAAGGGAACAAGTAAGAGGAGATTATAGAATAGAGTATGTAAATAATTCTGCCTTAAAAGAACTTTACGTCGCAGTATGCCTTGGCAATGGTTCACTCACATACCAACGCAGGGCACATGCTACAATATGACAAGTGGTGGAAAGTGTGACACCTGCGCGCCTCCACCACAGTTTCAACTAAGACAAAACCATAGCGAGATAAAAAGGCAGAAATTTATTCACACAGAGAAACACGTTTTGATCTGGTTTGATCAAACTTAAATATGAAGATCTGTTCAGTAGGCTGCAACAAGCAACAGGCTGAATTTCAGAGCTGCTGTGGCTGAGTGGGTGGGTACCATGAAGGCTCTTGCTCATGCTGTGGTTCTTGGCGCTCACCCATGATCTTTAGAGCTTGGCGTTTTTCTCAGCTGGAGAACTCTGAATTCCAAGAGAACAGTAAAGAAACAAGAGTGGAGGAACAATAAGAAGCTCAGTACACCCAAAACTGACTTTTTACTTTCGGACAGAATCCGGTACGCTGAATCATCTTAAAACAATCTTACCACGAGGGTCACTCGCCAGTGGTAAAGCAATGGTCAATTTAGGCTATGTAATGGTCATGAGGGGGTTAAAACAGCCAGCCCACCCAAAATGATAGTCAAGTTAGAGATGGAGCCTGGTGGGCTGAGTCAGTCCCTGGCTTCCTATGTGCCTTGGATACTCTAACAGCAAGATCTCCCTGTCACAGTTCCAGACTCTGACTTTAGTTTTGGAAGTCGGAGATTTGTGTGTTCCAGGATTTCTTCTTAAATTCTCCAAGACATAAAATAAATTACAATCTAGCTGGAAGACTAGGACCCCTTAGAGTGGCCATAGCTGGTGTGTAGTCTTGTCAAGTGAAATACTGGGTGTGCCGACCATTAACATCAGCTAGTTAAAACGAGTGTTTTTTGGTCCACAAGTAGTGAAGCCCTTATGGCTTTAGGAATATATATTTCTGTTCTCCAGTTGATAAATCCTGCACTTCCTTATGCAATATTCCAGTTCAATATTTCAGGGGAGATTTCAGGCCCCTTTCTCTGGTTTAAAATGCTAAAAATTGACACGGTTACTAAAACAAGTACCAAAGTTAAGGTATCATTAAAAACGATCAATAAATGCTGTATTACATGTTGTCCATGTCCACTCATTCACTATGGGATTAGTTTACTGTATTTTGCAAACAACCTGGTTGATCCTGCTGTTCTCGATCATCCCCTCCTGTCCATGTTCCAACTGTAGTTGGGGATTTCACAGAGGAGTATTAGCAGCTAGTGCACATGATCAGTTTACTGCGTATTTCTTATATGAGCATTTCCTCCCCATCACATCTGAGCAGCTCATGTGACTATAGAGTCACACATGTGGGAGCATACACAATGGTAAATGACAGCCCACTCCCTCCCTTCTCCTCCATGCGCAATAACCAGCTAAACACAATTGGGGCAGGATATTCCATCTTTATTGATGGCAGCTTCACCGCTCTGTTATTCGAAGACAAAGACTGGAGGGACGTGACACAGCCTGTGATTGCCAGAAATCTGCCCACACCATGCAATTACCAAAAATATTAAAGATTTGATTTCAATTATAAATTTGTATGACTATTTAAAGCAGTTTATTAATATTATATATTTTTACTCTGTATACCACAGGCTTTTTTTTTTTTTATTTTAAACGTGCCCAACAGCAGGGGACTAGAAGCTCCTCCTGCCCACCGTTTCCCTGAGAAATAGCTGGGTGAAGTGACAGCTGTATATCGATTACTTCGATTTTTTTTTTCTCCATTTACATAGAGAAGGGATATTGTAAATTAAACAGTGTGCGTTTAGTAGCACTTTAAGTGAGTCCCCTAATGGACACAAGTGGCCCTTTTTAGATGAATTCCAACCAACTAGGCCCAATGTTTGACTTGAGTTGAACATGTTTGCTTTACAATACATTAAGGGATAAGTTCACCTTTGGAACATGTTACATGTTCCACCCGTTTTTAGGGTGGAGCATGTAACATGTTCTCATAGCTGCAGCCGTGCCCACCACCCCCCCGTTACTCTGACAGACAATACGGGGAAACATCTCCCTGTACTATCTATCAAATTTTTAAAACAGTGCAGCCGCGTCACTCAATCAGAGTTCTATGAATCAGTGCCTACAAGTCCCAACAGCCTCAGTGGCAGTGGGCTTGTAGTTTTCAATGAACTACCACGACACTGTGGAGCACCATGGTAGTTCATTGAAGCTTCTGTCAGTATATCTGCTTGCTCTTACATCCCGTACGGCATACAGATATTCTGACAGGTCTGTAGGAGACCTGCATGGCATCAGCCATCTGATTGTTGGGGCAATGTTTTACAGGTGCCTTTGGACAAAAATAATAAATGCATTTTTTTACCTGCAAAAAAAATGTGCATTTATTGTTTTTGTCCAAAAGGTGAACTTATCCTTTAAACGAGAAGATGTAGCTCCTGTGTGCTTGAGATATAAGAAGCTGTCTGTTGAGTCAGTCCATTTTTATTGTGAACATGCCAACAGACTCAAAGGCCTTACAACAGTCCATGCCCTTATTTTCCAAATGGGCCCGAATCGAAGCGAAAATTCATGCCAAATATGTACTGCTTCAGAGCGCTTGCTTCCAAAGCTGGCCAAACAATTTGGTTGCCTAACGTTCTTTAGATTTACCAACAAGGGCTTACCGACACAATTCATTCCATACAATATCAGTCAGGTAGGCCATTACACTTCATAACTGTTAGCAAATTTAAAGTAGATTGTACAATCCGGTTGTAACATGCCTGGTCAGCTCAAATCTCTGAAGGAAGGCTGTTTGCTGGAAAACCTGCAAATCATGATAAATTGAACAAAAGGTTAGAAGAGGAGGCACAGGCGAAATTTAGTGAAGTTGAGTAACCAAGCACCATGATCACAAAAGTGGGCAAAGGTCACAGACCAAAAGGTGTGGAAATTTCAGCTCCACGGGGTCAAGTGAGTCTTCTTTGGTCAACAGAGCAAACAGACTGTCACAGGGGGGAATACAGACAAAAAGCAGAAAGAAACTCGGAATAACCTCATGCACATAGTGGAGGGGAAAGAATAAGTGAAAAACGTGTGAAAAAAGACAA